CTCGGTTATGTCGATTCTTTTTTGTCGCCGAACCCTGATATCTCGAGCACAAAAGGTAGCCAAATTTGCCACTTAATCTTGGTTATCTCGATTCCCATGACCAATCACCGGCTTTTGAACTCCGCTGGAAGAAATTGCAAACAACAAGTAAAAAAAGTTTTTCATAATTAAGAATAATTATTTATTCCTCAAAATACAGGACTTGTGTTTTAGAATGAACCTATATGTAATTTAAATAAATGTTTTATTTCGAGGTTTAATTACCCGGTAAGAGTCCATATTATAAATAATCATAATTTGCAGCGTGCAAAACATTGTCATGGGCAGCCATTCACGGTCACTTGCAAAATGGCTATGCTGTGGTACTACATCAGAGTTTAATTCATAAGAGTTTGCCTGTGTGCAAAAGCTATTAAACCATTGGTCTTGGAAAGCTTTAATTAAATAGTCATGTGCCAAAGTTGACAGTTCAAAATAAGTAGTCCCTAAAAAGTATTTTAGTAATAAGGGTATGCGTTGCCTTACATAAACTATAAAGTCTTTACGCAAGACACGATCATCACAAAATGTGGTGGCTTTGTCCATAGCAGGAAATACCAAATGAACTCGCACTTTAAAAATTCGTAGCTCAAAAAGATCTGAAGTTAAAAAGTTGATTCTGGTTTCATTTTTTAATTTGAAGTTTGCTCTAAATAACTAATATTTAAAAAAAATATTTATAATTTTTTTTTACTGATCATTTATTAACGCACATCATGTACATAAAGAAATTTCAAGAATGTTAATATATTGCCGCCATATTGGTTTTCGATTATCTCTATCATCGGTTATTTCGATGCTTTTTGGCAAACCTCAAGGCCGTCGACATAACAAGGTTCTAGTATAGTTTAATTAAATGTTATTAAAGTCTTTACACTTGTGAAATTGCACCAAAAAAAGAATAATGTCAGATATGTGTGAAAAACAGGACGTAATACTTCAGCTTATAATCAGGCACTGCCAATTTTCTGAACAGTAAGATATTTATAATGGAATAGTGTAAGCCTCTTACAAGATTAGCCTTAAATATACGGATCATCAATTATATCCAGCTTAACCATATTAGTATTACACAGGTTCAACTCATTGTAATCAGTCAAAGGCACGAGTTACTAGTCTTTTTAAAAAGTCATAAAAATGACGATAGAGTTGTTTCATTTGTACAAAATATACTTTGTTGTATTGTTGGAGCGATGCTTGAAAAAAACCAGACTGCTGGCATGTTTACCTGTGTTGAGCTTGTTCTATTGGATGGCTGACAGCCCTACTGTCCAAGATCTCCTCTTCTGACTTTTCTGACACATTTAGCTTCTTCTTAAAAGTGGTGCACTCAACATCTAAAGGCTCATTGATACATGTTTGGATTTTATAGATTTGTGCAAGGCCCGAGATTATCATTTCCAGAATGTTAACATGTGGTTATAATATTGGCTGGATGTGGACATGTGGTTATCTCAGTGCCTGAATGCTAACATGTGGTTATAGCAGTGCCTGAATGCTAACATGTGGTTATAGCAGTGCCTGAATGCTAACATGTGGTTTCGGCAGTGCCTGAATGTTAACATGTGGTTATAGCAGTGCCTGAATGTTGACATGTGGTTATAATATTGGCTGGATGTGGACATGTGGTTTCGGCAGTGCCTGAATGTTGACATGTGGTTATAGCAGTGCCTGAATGTTGACATGTGGTTTTGGCAGTGCCTGAATGCTAACATGTGGTTTCGGCAGTGCCTGAATGTTGACATGTGGTTATAGCAGTGCCTGAATGTTGACATGTGGTTATAGCAGTGCCTGAATGTTAACATGTGGTTATAGCAGTGCCTGAATGCTAACATGTGGTTTCGGCAGTGCCTGAATGTTGACATGTGGTTATAGCAGTGCCTGAATGTTGACATGTGGTTATAGCAGTGCCTGAATGTTAACATGTGGTTATAGCAGTGCCTGAATGCTAACATGTGGTTTCAGCAGTGCCTGAATGTTGACATGTGGTTATAGCAGTGCCTGAATGCTAACATGTGGTTTCGGCAGTGCCTGAATGTTTACATGTGGTTATAGCAGTGCCTGAATGCTAACATGTGGTTTCGGCAGTGCCTGAATGTTGACATGTGGTTTCGGCAGTGCCTGAATGTTAACATGTGGTTATAGCAGTGCCTGAATGCTAACATGTGGTTTCGGCAGTGCCTGAATGTTGACATGTGGTTTCGGCAGTGCCTGAATGTTAACATGTGGTTATAGCAGTGCCTGAATGCTAACATGTGGTTTCGGCAGTGCCTGAATGTTGACATGTGGTTATAGCAGTGCCTGAATGTTAACATGTGGTTATAGCAGTGCCTGAATGCTAACATGTGGTTTCGGCAGTGCCTGAATGTTGACATGTGGTTATAGCAGTGCCTGAATGTTAACATGTGGTTATAGCAGTGCCTGAATGTTAACATGTGGTTATAGCAGTGCCTGAATGCTAACATGTGGTTATAGCAGTGCCTGAATGCTAACATGTGGTTATAGCAGTGCCTGAATGCTAACATGTGGTTTCGGCAGTGCCTGAATGTTAACATGTGGTTATAGCAGTGCCTGAATGTTGACATGTGGTTTTGGCAGTGCCTGAATGTTTACATGTGGTTATAGCAGTGCCTGAATGCTAACATGTGGTTTCGGCAGTGCCTGAATGTTGACATGTGGTTATAGCAGTGCCTGAATGTTGACATGTGGTTTTGGCAGTGCCTGAATGTTGACATGTGGTTATAGCAGTGCCTGAATGTTGACATGTGGTTTTGGCAGTGCCTGAATGTTGACATGTGGTTATAGCAGTGCCTGAATGCTAACATGTGGTTTCGGCAGTGCCTGAATGTTGACATGTGGTTATAGCAGTGCCTGAATGTTGACATGTGGTTATAGCAGTGCCTGAATGTTAACATGTGGTTATAGCAGTGCCTGAATGCTAACATGTGGTTTCGGCAGTGCCTGAATGTTGACATGTGGTTATAGCAGTGCCTGAATGTTGACATGTGGTTTTGGCAGTGCCTGAATGTTGACATGTGGTTATAGCAGTGCCTGAATGCTAACATGTGGTTTCGGCAGTGCCTGAATGTTGACATGTGGTTATAGCAGTGCCTGAATGTTGACATGTGGTTTTGGCAGTGCCTGAATGTTGACATGTGGTTATAGCAGTGCCTGAATGCTAACATGTGGTTTCGGCAGTGCCTGAATGTTGACATGTGGTTATAGCAGTGCCTGAATGTTGACATGTGGTTTTGGCAGTGCCTGAATGTTGACATGTGGTTATAGCAGTGCCTGAATGCTAACATGTGGTTTCGGCAGTGCCTGAATGTTGACATGTGGTTATAGCAGTGCCTGAATGTTGACATGTGGTTTTGGCAGTGCCTGAATGTTGACATGTGGTTATAGCAGTGCCTGAATGCTAACATGTGGTTTCGGCAGTGCCTGAATGTTGACATGTGGTTATAGCAGTGCCTGAATGTTGACATGTGGTTTTGGCAGTGCCTGAATGTTGACATGTGGTTATAGCAGTGCCTGAATGCTAACATGTGGTTTCGGCAGTGCCTGAATGTTGACATGTGGTTATAGCAGTGCCTGAATGTTGACATGTGGTTTTGGCAGTGCCTGAATGTTGACATGTGGTTATAGCAGTGCCTGAATGTTAACATGTGGTTATAGCAGTGCCTGAATGCTAACATGTGGTTTCGGCAGTGCCTGCATGTTTACATGTGGTTATATCGGTGGCTGGGTGTTGACATGTGGCTATATAAGTGCCCTGCTATTTCATAGTTTTTTGCCCCCCCCCCCCACCCACCCTCAACTAAACCGAGTGTTTAAACTGTATTTATTTATGGTCGCGTGGACAATTAATTGTAGAAATCATAGAAGCACCCATGACCTGACCCATCATAAGCTGTCCTAAAATGAGCTGTCCAACATGATGTGTCCCAACATAAGCTGTCCCAACATGATCTGTCCCAACATGAGCTGATTTAAAAACGTATGCTATTATTCATTATGGTAATACTAGATGTAGAGCACTAAGAAATATTACTAACATAAATTGTGTCCATGCATTCGTCCACCTCAGCGATAACGTCCGGCCAAGCCAGAAATCGTATGGTAGTCATGGTAACATTAAGTAAACAAGCTAAGTTAGGACCTCAGTGTTTGGTCCGGGTAGTTTTATTTCTCAAACTCAAACACACGGGTATTCATTCTATTGGGGTAGTTTTATTTAGAATGGCATTCCCTTTGGAAGTTTCTATTGACCCATCTTAGGGCTATGTCGTCCGTAGATCGAATTTAATTCTCCTTTTGAATTATTGGCGTCAAGTGTGAGTTTTTAGGTTTATCCAAAAATAAAATAGTCCCCTACTACACACAAGTTCCTATTGATATTTACTATTATTTAGAAATTGCTCGTTTTACACGTATTGTTATTCTACATTGATCAGATTTTTTTTTTTTGGTGTCATCTTAATTGTTGTCTCATTTGTTTTAAATGTTGTACTTGGCTAAAAGTTAATATTGACTTAATTCCTATATTTCCAATAGTTAGCTGATATTTCACGGACTGGCCGTTGTTTACTAAACCAAAGCAGCGTATTTCACTCTCTACGCCAATTTAAAACTTGATCAGTTTTATTTACAAAACAATAAATGTTTAGAGATGATGTTTGTGGATCAATAATTGAATAATTGATTGACTTATCCATCCGCCGACCCCGTGCTCACGTGACATGCCAGCTTCCGGCAGGACCTTATCATTGCCGCAGACGACAACGAGGTCGCCGCGCGCATCTCGCGGTATTGATCCGTAAGCACCAAGAATGACTGAGCAGTTTGGTGGCACGGGAGAGAGAGAGAGAGGTGAAAATGGGCGGCCTGGGGGAAATCAATAGCCAACTAAATTATGCTGTGTCGCTCTCGCGTGTTTTCTTCCCACTCGGCATAGTGGAAATATTGGGTCCGTCCTCTAATGTAGACCTGACTCACCAGCTGCGCAGAGCCTGCTCACGCTGTCGTGTGTCTGTGGCATGGGCTGGTCCATTTCTTCGTCATCCAAGGGGGAGAAACCTACCGCGTTGATGGAAGCATAATTTATTCAAATTTGGCCTCTTACGACTATTTCCAGAATCACGACCATCCTGGCTTTTCTCTAGTCATTTGTAAAAAAAAAAAGAAAGAAAAGAAGATACTTTCGTTACCAATGTGAAACCTACAATAAAATCCTACCAAAGTGACTGTGATAGTGTGTCTTGTCGTTCAGTCTTGTTTGGAGGAGTGTATTAAGTGTCGTATTTATCATCGGATCTTTCCCTTGCGTCTGTACGGTAGAGATTACAAAGATCGATAGTTCTAGACAGTGCCATCATGGTGGAATTCTGAAAGTCTGTGGTAACCGTCTGTTGTGAGATCATCTTCCCATAGTTGCTCATTAGTTTTTGTTTGTGCTGGTGGAACTCCTCTCCAAGCGGCCGTTCTTATGGTTGTTAAAACAATGGATACCGAGGCGTCGAAAAATTACAGGAAGTAAGTATGATTTCATAGGTCCTTGGAGATTGATATCACCGGCACTAAGGCAGCCTTTGTATTCATTTCGCTTGTACTTAGAGAATCCATATATTTATATCACCAGCCATTAGAGAATCCATGTATTTATATCACCAGCCCTTAGAGAATCCATGTATACATATCACCAGCCATTAGAGAATCCATGTATTCATATCACCAGCCCTTAGAGAATCCATGTATACATATCACCAGCCATTAGAGAATCCATGTATTCATATCACCAGCCATTAGAGAATCCATGTATTTATATCACCAGCCATTAGAGAATCCATGTATTTATATCACCAGCCATTAGAGAATCCATGTATACATATCACCAGCCCTTAGAGAATCCATGTATTCATATCACCAGCCATTAGAGAATCCATGTATTTATATCACCAGCCATTAGAGAATCCATGTATTTATATCACCAGCCATTAGAGAATCCATGTATTTATATCACCAGCCATTAGAGAATCCATGTATTCATATCACCAGCCATTAGAGAATCCATATATTCATATCACCATCCATTAGAGAATCCATGTATTTATATCACCAGCCATTAGAGAATCCATGTATTTATATCACCAGCCATTAGAGAATCCATGTATTTATATCACCAGCCCTTAGAGAATCCATGTATACATATCACCAGCCATTAGAGAATCCATGTATTCATATCACCTGCCATTAGAGAATCCATGTATTCATATCACCAGCCATTAGAGAATCCATGTATTTATATCACCAGCCCTTAGATAATCCATGTATTTATATCACCAGCCCTTAGAGAATCCATGTATACATATCACCAGCCCTTAGAGAATCCATGTATTTATATCACCAGCCCTTAGAGAATCCATGTATTTATATCACCAGCCATTAGAGAATCCATGTATTTATATCACCAGCCATTAGAGAATCCATGTATTTATATCACCAGCCATTAGAGAATCCATGTATTTATATCACCAGCCATTAGAGAATCCATGTATTCATATCACCAGCCATTAGAGAATCCATGTATTTATATCACCAGCCATTAGAGAATCCATGTATTTATATCACCAGCCATTAGAGAATCCATGTATTTATATCACCAGCCATTAGAGAATCCATGTATTTATATCACCAGCCATTAGAGAATCCATGTATTCATATCACCAGCCATTAGAGAATCCATGTATTCATATCACCAGCCATTAGAGAATCCATGTATTCATATCACCAGCCATTAGAGAATCCATGTATACATATCACCAGCCATTAGAGAATCCATGTATTCATATCACCAGCAATTAGAGAATCCATGTATTCATATCACCAGCCATTAGAGAATCCATGTATACATATCACCAGCTATTAGAGAATCCATGAATACATATCACCAGCTATTAGAGAATCCATGAATACATATCACCAGCCATTAGAGAGTCCATGTATTCATATCACCAGCCATTAGAGAATCCATGTATACATATCACCAGCCATTAGAGAATCCATGTATACATATCACCAGCCATTAGAGAATCCATGTATTCATATCACCAGCCATTAGAGAATCCATGTATTCATAAGACCAGCCATTAGAGAATCCATGTATACATATCACCAGCCATTAGAGAATCCATGTATACATATCACCAGCCATTAGAGAATCCACGTATACATATCACCAGCCATTAGAGAATCCATGTATACATATCACCAGCCATTAGAGAATCCATGTATTCATATCACCAGCCATTAGACAATCCATGTATACATATCACCAGACATTAAAGAATCCATGTATACATATCACCAGCCATTAGAGAATCCATGTATACATATCACCAGCCATTAGAGAATCCACGTATACATATCACCAGCCATTAGAGAATCCATGTATTCATATCACCAGCCATTAGAGAATCCATGTATACATATCACCAGCCATTAGAGAATCCATGTATTCATATCACCAGCCATTAGAGAATCCATGTATTCATATCACCAGCCATTAGAGAATCCATGTATTCATATCACCAGCCATTAGAGAATCCATGTATACATATCACCAGCCATTAGAGAATCCATGTATTCATGTCACCAGCCATTAGAGAATCCATGTATTCATATCACCAGCCATAAGAGAATCCATGTATTCATATCACCAGCCATTAGAGAATCCATGTATTCATATCACCAGCCATTAGAGAGTTCATGTATTCATATCACCAGCCATTAGAGAATCCATGTATTCATATCACCAGCCATTAGAGAATCCATGTATACATATCACAAGCCATTAGAGAATCCACATATACATATCACCAGCCATTAGAGAATCCATGTATTCATATCACCAGCCATTAGAGAATCCATGTATTCAGATCACCATCACTTAGAATCCATGTATTCAGATCACCATCACTTAAAGAATTCAATCAGAATTTGTTCACCAAATGTACTTTTGTTAGTTCCGTACCCAAGATTCAGGTGTAGTTCTCGCTTGTAGAGGTTTGACTGTGACCGTTTGGTATGAGTTGGATGCTTCTCTTTCCCACTAAGTGGTCTTAGAAAGTTTTTGGAGTGGCTTGTGGGTTTTTGGCAATTTTTGTATGTAGTGGTCTCGTGTTAAAGTCATTAATATGTCATCTTTAAGAAAGTCAATAGTAACACATTCAATTGTTACTTTGGTAACATTTTGTGTCACTTGGAACAGTTTGAGCTTGCAAATGGTAAGAATGACTCTGACTGAGATTTGACGCTATTGTCTTATCTAGAATAGAATGTTTATTTCCATGTGAATAAACTTTGGAACTATATATTGGAAATTGGAAACTTATGGACTTGAGAGTCTTTTGACTTTAATGAAATGTGTTTGGTAACTTAGAATAGGACCCTTTGAAATGTAGGGTAGGGACACCTAATATATATCACACTTTAATACACCTGTAATCCTTTTCAAAACCCTTGAAAATTACTTTGGAATTTCTGGCTCAGTTTTGGCTTGGTTTAGGTCCTACCTCTCTGATAGATCGCAGGCGGTCTCTGTCGATGGCTGTCTCTCAGGCAGTGCTGATTTGGTGTACGGAGTACCCCAGGGGTCCGTTTTAGGCCCGATTCTATTCACATTGTATACCAGACCACTGCTCCTCTTGCTTGGGAGGCATGCTGTTGAGAGCCAGTCATTTGCAGATGACACGCAGCTATACAAGCACACCCATCCTTCTCTTGTTGGATCCGCTGTCCAGACTTTGCGGGGGTGCATTGATGATGTCAAGTCATGGATGACACTCAGCAAATTGAAGCTTAATGATGACAAAACGGAAGCACTGCTCATCCACAATAACACATCATCCTCTACCTCAACTCTTCCTAACTCATTTCAAGTAGGTAACTCTGACGTTCGGTTTACCCCCTCTGCTAGGAATCTTGGTTATATTCTTTCTAACAACATGTCTCTCGATAAACACATATCTCACATTTGTCGTTCAGCATACACCGCCATCCGTCAGATCAGCTCCATACGCCACTACCTCACAGTTAGCGCTACAAAAACTCTAGTCTGTGCTCTTGTTCTCTCTCGTCTTGACTATTGAAACTCTCTTCTGTCAGGTTCACCAAAACACTGCATAGAAAAACTGCAAAAAGTTCAAAACTCAGCTGCTAGGCTAGTTTTAAAGGCAAAAAAACGTGATCACGTCACTCCACTACTCCATTCCCTTCATTGGCTACCTATACAGGCACGCATCGACTACAAGTTGTCTGTTCTTAGATTCCTTCCCTTCATATCTAACCGAACTTCTTTCTGTCTATTCACCCCTTCGACAGCTTCGCTCCTCTGCAGACACGCGTATTCTGTCCGTTCCCAAGACACACACTAAAACATATGGTGAATTATCTTTCTCTTTCTGCTCCCCCAAACAATGGAATTCTTTGCCACTACACATACGCAATATACCAACCACCCAGGCCTTCAAAACTGCACTAAAAACATATCTTTTTAAATTATACTACCCTGACTGATTCCCCTCCTCTGACCGATAAATGATCTTGCTGGCTGCCGTCCATGGTTTGTCGTGTAAAAGTTATGTGGTGGGGTGGGTGAATATACATTGCTGTTCTTTTTTTTCATAAATGTATTTTATTTTAATGTCATAATTATGTCTCTTTTGATAAAATTTTTATATACAGCGCGGTGAGCCCAGCTGCTGGGGTACCGCGCTTTATAAGATGTCTTATTATTATTTTTATTATTATTATTATTAGGGAGAACTAAAATATCACACTTAGATACACCTGAAATATAAGGTAAGGAGACCTAATATATCACACTTAGATACACCTGAAATATAGGGTAGGGAGACCTAATATATATCCCACTTTAATACACCTGAAATATAGGGTAGGGAGACCTAATATATCACACATAGATACACCTGAAATATAGGGTAGGGAGACCTGATATAGCACACTATAATACACCTGAAATATAGGGTAGGGAGACCTACTATATCACACTTAGATACACCTGAAATATAGGGTAGGGAGACATAATATATCAATCACACTTAGATACGCCTGAAATATAGGTTAGGGTGACCTAATAAATTACACTTAGATACACCTGAAATATAGGTTAGAGAGACCTAATATATCACACTTAGATACACCTGAAATATAGGGTAGGGAGACCTAATATATCACACTTAGATACACCTGAAATATAGGGTAGGGAGACCTAATATATCACACTTAGATACACCTGAAATATAGGGTAGGGAAACCTAATATATCACACTTAGATACACCTGAAATATAGGGTAGGGAGACCTAATATATCACACTTAGATACACCTGAAATATAGGGTAGGGAGACCTAATATATCACACTTAGATACACCTGAAATATAGGGTAGGGAGACCTAATATATCACACTTAGATACACCTGAAATATAGGGTAGGGAGACCTAATATATCACACTTAGATACACCTGAAATATAGGGTAGGGAAACCTAATATATCACACTTAGATACACCTGAAATATAGGGTAGGGAGACCTAATATATCACACTTAGATACACCTGAAATATAGGGTAGGGAGACCTAATATATCACACTTAGATACACCTGAAATATAGGGTAGGGAGACCTGATATAGCACACTATAATACACCTGAAATATAGGGTAGGGAGACCTAATATGTCACCCGGTCCACAATTATAGAGCCATGATCAAATTATAGATAAATGCCATTATCACATTTGAGGGTTGTAACAATGTCACATTTGAAGGTTAGTAACAATGTCACATTGTCCACAATTATAGATGAGCTTTTATCACATTTGAGTATAATAACAATGTCACATGGTCCACAATTATAGTTTGAGCTATTATCACATTTGAGCTTTCGCTCAGCTGTTCTTTAATACTTTCCAAAATGTCTCTGTTCACTTTCCATTTCGCTTTTAAGTTTCTTATCTCCCAAACCACAGACACATGGAATGATCTATCGCTCTTATTTGACCCATTTCATCGCCTGTTGGTTGTTTGGATAAAAACCCGACTCATCATGTCAGCATGCAGCACACGCAGACCAATGAAGTGGACAAAGTTTATAATTATATCACACAATTCATTGGGTTTAGTTTCATACATCGTCTGTAGATAGGACCTTGACAGTGGATTAAACTACAATTTCACGTACTTCACAATAGTCACGACAAAATCGTCCTTTACTGGTCCACCGCCATCTCAAATTTTTTCTTATGAGAGGGGCGCCATTGTTCCTAGGCACCGCCCTGACTTCCATTAGCTCAGACCTCGTCTGTGATGCAGTGTGTATCAGCTTTTTAATTTGTAGCCCATGTCTTCAGCACATATTTGCAACATAATCTGGATTGAAATTGTCAATTTTTAAAATATAGTTTGTACCATTTGTACCAATACATTATCTTAATTCATTTTCTGCGTTTTTTTTTTTTAAATTAAAAAAAAAAAGTCTGATTTTTGTTAGACCTATGTCTTATTTTCTGGCGACTCAACTGCACCTTGCATGCGACACAATCCCTTAAAGGTTTTGTTCCAATACTTTTTCTTAATTCTTTTTTTTTGTTTTTTTTTTTTAAATTAAAAAAAAAAAGTCTGAATGTTGGTAGACCTATGTCTTATTTTCTGGCGACCCACCTGCACCTTGCATGCGACACAATACCTTAAAGGAGTGGCTTGCTAGCATGTGTGGTAGAGCTTCTGAGTTTGGTAAATAATTCGACGCAGTTAACTAGATGTGTCAGGTCCTGTCTTATAGTGACAATATGTTACAATCTGTGACTTGCTGAAATGGGGGGAAAAACGAGAATTTTATTCTTAAAGCGTGGACCCGGGAATTCACGGGATGTGAACATTTCCCGGGAAGTCTTTTGTTGACTAAAATGGTTCATGATCCCCGGAGAGACATCCTAGTTCTGAGGCGTTCGGATCACTATATTATCAGTTCCAAGGCAGTTTCAGATTTCATGTAACAGAGAGTCAACTCTTGTGAGCTATGTCAAATGTCACATGGACAGCTGAATATGTCAAATGAAACATGAGCAGCTGAATATGAATATGTCAACTGAGACATGAACAGCTGAATATGAATATGTCAACTGAGACATGAAAAGCTGAATATGAATATGTCAACTGAGACATGAACAGCTGAATATGAATATGTCAACTGAGACATGGACAGCTGAATATGAATATGTCAACTGAGACATGGACAGCTGAATATGAATGTGTCAACTGAGACATGAACAGCTGAATATGAATATGTCAACTGAGACATGGACAGCTGAATATGAATATGTCAACTGAGACATGGACAGCTGAAAATGTCAGAGTTGAAGAGTTGAATGTTTCAACATGTCATGGAAATGGTGGTCTACCATTATACTAAGAATAACGTTTTGACAGTACCACAATGTGTACACAGAAGTACTGACAGTCTCTCCATATTCACCCCACCCCCCCCCCCTTTTTTTTTCTTTCTCCCACTAGTAAAACTTTGAACAGCCCAAAGTCTGACTCACCCAAGACGAATTCACTGCTTATTGATCTACTGTTATAACACGTAGTTGAGACACCTTTGTAACACAAAGAAGAGAGGGACACGCTGGGAGTAAGGGGTGACATTCTTGGAGGGGAGTGAGGAAGGACAGGCGTGGAGGGGATGAGTGAGGACAGGCTTGGAGGGGATCAGTGAGGACAGGCTTGGAGGGGATCAGTGAGGACAGGCTTGGAGGGCATCAGTGAGGACAGGCTTGGAGGGGGGGAGTGAGGACAGGCTTGGAGGGGATGAGTGAGGACAGGCTTGGAGGGGATGAGTGAGGACAGGCTTGGAGGGGATGAGTGAGGACAGGCTTGGAGGGGATCAGTGAGGACAGGCTTGGAGGGGATCAGTGAGGACAGGCTTGGAGGGCATCAGTGAGGACAGGCTTGGAGGGGGGGAGTGAGGACAGGCTTGGAGGGGATGAGTGAGGACAGGCTTGGAGGGGATGAGTGAGGACAGGCTTGGAGGGGATGAGTGAGGACAGGCTTGGAGGGGATCAGTGAGGACAGGCTTGGAGGGGATCAGTGAGGACAGGCTTGGAGGGCATCAGTGAGGACAGGCTTGGAGGGGGGGAGTGAGGACAGGCTTGGAGGGGATGAGTGAGGACAGGCTTGGAGGGGATGAGTGAGGACAGGCTTGGAGGGGATGAGTGAGGACAGGCTTGGAGGGGATCAGTGAGGACAGGCTTGGAGGGGATCAGTGAGGACAGGCTTGGAGGGCATCAGTGAGGACAGGCTTGGAGGGGGGGAGTGAGGACAGGCTTGGAGGGGATGAGTGAGGACAGGCTTGGAGGGGATGAGTGAGGACAGGCTTGGAGGGGATGAGTGAGGACAGGCTTGGAGGGGATGAGTGAGGACAGGCTTGGAGGGGATGAGTGAGGACAGGCTTGGAAGGGATCAGTGAGGACAGGCTTGGAAGGGATCAGTGAGGACAGGGTTGAAGAGGATGAGTGAGGACAGGCGTGGAGGGGGAGTGAGGACAGGCTTGGAGAGGATGAGTGAGGACAGCCCTGGTGGGGGGGTGAGGACAGGCCTGGATGGGATGAGTGAGGACAGGCCTGGAGGGAATGAGTGAGGACAGGCCTGGAGGGGATGATTGAGGGCAGGCCTGGAGGGAATTGAGGACATGCCTGGAGGGGATGAGTGAGGACAGGCTTGGAGGGGATCAGTGAGGACAGGCTTGGAAGGGATCAGTGAGGACAGGGTTGAAGAGGATGAGTGAGGACAGGCTTGGAGGGGATCAGCGAGGGCATACTTAGAGGGGAGTGAGGACAGGCTTGGAGAAGAAAAAAATGGACAGGCTTGAAGAGAGGTGGTATGTTGTTAATCTGTAAAAATATTTCAGTCTAGTTTCTTTTATTTGTAGATTCAGTTTCGGAGTAGGGAGCGTGACAAATGTTCTTGAAAGGACAATGATCAGTTTTAACTGCAATCAAACAAATACACTTAACACACGTGTATAGTTAGTAAACCTAATCTTCACACAAACATAAACCTGCACACACAACCTACGCATTGAAGGTAGCTATCTATTTGATCAATTTCTATTTGGATTCAAGGGTAAAATCTGCCACATTTCATATCAGCACCCACACCTCTCTCAAATGTCAACACCCACATCTTGTACATGTCAACACCCACACCTCTCGCACATGTCAACACCCACACCCCACTCACATGTCAACACCCACACCCACTCACATGTCAACACCCACACCTCTCTCACATGTCGACACCCACACCCCTCTCACATGTCAACACCCACACCCCTCTCACATGTCAACACCCACACCCCTCTCACATGTCAACACCCACACCTCTCTCACATGTCAACACCCACAACCTCTCTCACATATCAACACCCACATCCCTCTCACATGTCAACACCCACACCTCTCTCACATATCAACACCCACACATACATCTCTTACTCATCAACATCAACTTTCAAATGTCAATTCCCTCTCTCATGTCACAACCCCCTGTCAATTGTCAACACTCCTACCCCTCTCATAAGTCAACACCCACACCTATTATATGTCAAGGGCCTCTCTCCTATGTTTGGTAGCAGTGATACATTGTTGAATCAAGTGGACTGTTCAGGTAGCAGTGTTACATATTTGACTCACTACTGTCAAGTCTAAAGAGACATTTGTTGTAGTCTGGTTAAATGTTCATGGTCCAGTAAATGAGTTTTCCATTGACAAATAAGGACTCCTTCTTGTGTGTGTTCCCTGGGACACATGTAAACAGACACAGCTGTCTGAACAAATCAAGGGATACCTTCTATTTTAGTCATAGCTTCTTGAGAATCTCTTATTGACATTGGTAGAGTACATTCTCAGGAGAACACATTTGGATATGGACTACCAACCTGTAGGACTGCCTCAGTTTCATAAGCTACAAAATACCTGGTGGAAATGACCTGTCAAAATATTATCATCTTCTTGACCTGGGGCCAAATTGTCTAGCCTCTCCTCCTGATCCTTATAGCTGTCTGATTAGGTCAGGTTCAGATGCAATGTCTTATCTACTGGTTGAATAGTTGTTGAAATTACTGTTGGGGAAAAAAAAGGGAGGGGGGGGGGGTCACTACTCTTTCTCAATACACATTCACCTACAAGTGGATTTGTTTTCATAGCATTATCAGTATTACTTCCCTCTAATTAGGCAAACATTTAAGCTTTTGCCTGATGTAACCACCAACTGTCAGGAAGAACATATGAAATATTGTGAATGTTTGCTGCAAGTATCAATCTAATCATAGTTGGCCACACTTGAGCTGCTGTATTGATTTGTTGGTCATGAGGAGGAAATAAGCTTTAGCTGGATGTAATGTGTGTGGCACATCTGTAGCAGTGGTGTCACAAGACAGCCAGCTATTGGTGGTCTTCAGATAAACTTTTGGCTTTTATGCTGTGTCTCCTGTGATAGGCAGACATAGAACAAACTTCAAAGTAAGTACATCACTGTCCAGGAGAAGGACATTGTACTGTAGGGCCATCGAAATGGATGCACTAGTACATAGTGGCTATGATAGTACAAGATGTTCCAGTAGCACAGAGCAAATTGAACTGTGAGAGATATGTAAACAGTTGTCTTAACAGTATCAGAGCATAAAATGATAATACTAGAGGTATATTTCCTTCAATATGTGTATCCATACTGTTTTAGTGTAATTTAACATTCGTCAGTGGGCATGTAAAAAAACGGTAGCATGGCCTAGAATAATCATTTATTAACTCTTTTAAAGTTCTTTTAAATAAACATATTTTGAAAATAATGATACTTTTCAAATGTTCCAGTATTTAGTCTCTATTAAATCAATGTGGGAAACCATCTGTGGCTCATTTATGATCTGCTGGTCATGCATAGTGTAGCTTTAAGCATTCTGTGAATAGCCAGCTTATTTGGATATTGAAAAGTTTATTTTCAACCATGCAGTGACAGTCTTATGCTCTAAATGTGCACATGTGAATATTATTCATTTCATACCTTTAAGGACAAACGACAATAACAAAGCAACATGAAGGATAGATTTGTTTATTTATTTATTTTGCCATTTTTATATAGCGCTTACCTTACAGCTCTAAGCGCTTTACAATTATTAAAAACATGTAACCTATTTAAACTGCTAAAGTAAAATAAAAATGAAAAACCAATGACACTAGAATAGTAACTACTATATTAAAAATTACCATAGAAACAGTAGCTTAAACATTAAAATGGCTATAAAACGAGTACACTTTGGCACGTTTTGGCCTATACTACAGGATCATAACGAGACAGAAAATGAGGCAGGGCTGAGAGGGTGCATCACAGGTCATATGCGGACCTAAATGTTTCTGTCACATTAAACCCCCCAATGGCAGGACAGGCCCAGCTTTATGAAGTGTGGCATTGGCCAACAGCTGAAAGGAATAACAAATCTCTAACCACCAGATGTTACCCTGGGAAGTGTGGTAGTAAATCCAAAAGGATAATCTGTTGAAGGATCACACTTTCGGCCACAGCCTATCACAGAAATCAAAGTCGGACGATGAATATGACACTGTTAAAAAATAGTTTTCTGATTTTGTCATCCTATTGGATTTCTTTCTAAATGCCAAGAGTTTGTGAAAGGGTAATATGAACCAAAACTTGGTCTCTTTTTCAGACCTGTTTACTCTTACGATTTTAAGCGTACATGTACGATTTTGAGGTGTATAGATTGTATATTCTGTATGTTTTTTTTACTATAAATATAACGTATTGAACGATTTTGTGATGATATTGTACGATTTTAAGAGTTGAGGGTAAACAGGTCTGCTTTTTAAAAAAAAATGTATTGACTTAAAGAGTTTAATCTGTGCAGTGTTTTTGTAACTTTCTTTGTACTGTTACCAAATAATATATTATTCCCCACAGGAATCCAAACTTACTTTTTGAAGTTTAAGTTAATTAGGACTGTATTGATTAATATATTTATTGAGTTAGGTGTTTGTAGCTCCCTTTTTTCCCTGTCCTCCTTTCTTGGGTCCCTCAGATCTATCAGAATAGCTAGCTTTCATGTGCTTGATTTATTATTGGTATTGGCCCAGTGACAGGAAAAGGTAGATACACTTGTGAGCAGGGTTTAAAAATGAAAATTTAGTTTTAAAAAGTAGCTGCTGCATTGATTCTTGTTACTCACCAATGTAAGTTAATTGCTGCAGTGGATGTGAACAGATAGTTTTTGTTGAAAGTGTAGAGTGAAATAAATAAAGCATGTTCACATTGCTAGCTTCAGCTGCAATGTGTGGTTGTAGATTAACAGTAGGAATATCTCTAACTACACATTGTAGCTCATATTGACAACTAACACTGGGAATGTTACTATAACAACTAAGTGGCTGTGTAAATGTGTTTAATACCAAACTTGATTTATTGACATCTGAATGTAAAAAAAAAATTTTGAGGGAGAAAATATAAGACCTTATCAGTGTCATGTGTGTAGAATCCATGTGTAGAAAAGGCTAAATGTTTTATTTCCAGTGAGTTTGTTTCACATGAATTTGTTCATGCTCTGGAATATTGATGAATTATTAATGAACTATAAAGATCATGTTGGCCTCTGGGACTTGTTATTTCTATTGGCTCCAACACCCCCTTGGCAGTGTATTATCTGGTGATGGGAGTCCCGTTTTGTAGTGTTGCAATGATAGCTGGAAGCAAATATTGAAAGGTTTGTGCATGGTCTCATGTTTATGTTGAAGTTATCTATTTTATTAACGTGGGCATCCAGAACTCAGAGGTTGCGTTGCAAAAATTTGCCATGATTTCTACTTGGGTTTATCTGAAGGATTGTGACAGTTGACCATTTCATACATTTACTTTGTAAAGACTACCTAGAGTTCTTGAAGTTGTTCATTGGCTTATTATCAAGAAACACATTGAGTGGATAGATAAAATCATGTTGAAGTCTCCGCTCAAGGATTAGTTTATGCTTTGCTTTAATGATACTATTATAAAAGGCTTTTCTTTAGAACCCCTGTTGTTATGTAACAAATGGGTTTGTCTGAAATTGCATCTATCTTATATTTGTTTGTGCCTACCACTTGCTAACCTCTTGGATCTAGTAGTCAATATCTAAATAATGATCTCAAAGGAAAGGGAAAGATCTTATAGGCTTTAAATGTTTACTAATTTTTTACGTAAATTTAATTTATAATTATATTACTGTTTTTTTGTTGTACTGATTATGGTATGTGCCCAAACGTTTCAATTTTTGTTGTTGTTGTCTATTCACAATTAAAGCTAGACATATGATCACACAAAATTTTAGCGTCTCATTAATCTACTTGAAAGCTTTAAAGCAGTCCAACCCTCGTACTCAAAGAAGTCAAAAGTTGTCTTTATGCTAATCCATCCTTGATTTTGTTTGCAGGAAAAAGATTGAGGAGATTGGCAAAATGACAGCTCTCAGTCAAGATGAGATTGTCAGCAATACCAGGACAGTAATCCAAGGTCTGGATACCTTGAAAAATGACTACCAACAGATCTTAAATACTTTGTTATCTTCCATGAAAACTATAAAACGGGAAAATGGTGACACTAACCTGGTGGAAGAGAAGACCAATATATTACAGAGATCCTTGGAGACTATAGAGCTTGGCCTAGGAGAGGGTCAGGTAATACTTTTATAGAGCTTACCAAGGGAGGGTCAAGGAATAATTTTAGTGTTTTATAGAGCTTAGCCTAGGGGAGGGTAAGGTAATAATTTTAGTTTTATAGAGCTTGGCCTAGGGGAGGGTCAGGTAATAATTTTAGTGCGTTTACTAGTACAGACTCGGGTAATAGCTTTATCTTAATATAACTAATGCCAGGGAATATTTTCTAGAATTCATAATACTCACTATGTTATGATAATCTAGTCCCTCTATTCACTCACGGTGTAGCGATTATTTTACCTGATCAATGTCTCCAATTCTTACTTCAACGTGCTTTAGGTTATGATGGATCTCTCCAACTACCTCCAAAAAATAGAAGCAGAAAAACAGAAACTGAGAGCTCAAGTGCGGAGACTCTGTCAAGAGAATGGTTGGCTCAGGGATGAATTAGCAACAACGCAACAGAAGCTGCAGGTAATTGACTCATTTGAACAGTATCTCTTGGATATTTTTAACTTAATTTAGCATTGTTATAACATTTCTCTGTAATACAGTTTATTCCCTCAAGCACAATCTATTTGTAAAAGAAAATACTTCAACATGCCAAGAAAGGGCTGTTTTTATGAACTACATGCCATTTAAATGGAATGTTATTTCTGACATATTAACCTTAAAAAAAAAAAAAAGCATTGTCTTGTATGCACTGTCTTGTTTTATTCCACTTTTGTCCCTTAACCTATTTATAGATTCACTTTCTTGTGTTTGGTCATCCTTAACATTTCATAAAAGAAAATAATTCAACATGCCAAAAAAGGGCTGTTTTTATTAAATACATGCCATTTAAATGGAATGTTATTTCTGACATATTAACCTTAAAAAAAAAAAAAGCATTGTCTTGTATGCACTGTCTTGTTTTATTCCACTTTTGTCCCTTAACCTATTTATAGATTCACTTTCTTGTGTTTGGTCATCCTTAACATTTCATATTTTCTATTCTTTGCTGTATTATCCAATTGATTTCTACCATTCCAAGTCCACTTGTACTAGTCTACAAACATAGCACCTCACACCAAAATGAATTTTGATTATATCTTGTCTTGACAGTTTAGTGAACAAAGGGTGGCTACTCTGGAAGAGGAGAAAAAACATTTGGAATTTATGAATGAAATGAAGAAGTTTGATGACTCTGACGGGCACTCGTCTGCTGTAAGTATCATCAGTAAATGAGAGTTGGGGTTGATTTAAACTCATCAGCTGTAAGTATCATCAGTAAATGAGAGTTGAGGTTGATTTACACTCATCAGCTGTAAGTGTCAATAAATTAAAGTTTAAGTTGAAGTTACTCATGTTCTAAAGTATAAATGTTTATTGACCTGTTTTGGTTTATTTGTGAGGCCTTGAAGAAAAATTAAAATAGTCGGCACCAAAATTTTCTATAATTATGGATAACTTATCCACCTTTGCATTAGTCATGTTTGTTGTCGTGTTGCAGCCTCATGAAGAGAAAGAAACAGAAGCCCCGTCACAGTTAGATGACCTAGGCTTCCCCGACGTTGATGATGATCAATCTCCAGAAGGTCAGTAGTATGGCTTAGTTTTTTAAATCTTTCATTGAACAGGTTTAATTACTTTTCAGTTGCTTGCAGGATTCCAAGTTCATGTCTCTAAGCTTTATTCTTTTAAAAATAATACATTTCAATTATTCAAGGAGACTGATGTAAAGTAGCAAGCATTTGATAGGCTTATGTTATCAAATATTTGTATTAATTGTATAAACTGATGCAGTTTTCTTGTCTCCGCAGTGCTTTCCCCATCACAACCCAGTGCAATGGCTCATGCGGCGAGCGGGGGCTATGAGATTCCTGCTCGACTCCGCACTCTACATAATCTAGTTATACAATATGCATCCCAAGGTCGTTACGAGGTGGCTGTGCCACTGTGCAAACAGGCACTTGAAGACCTTGAAAAAACCTCCGGGCATGATCACCCTGATGTGGCTACCATGCTGAACATACTGGCTCTAGTTTACAGGTATAGGCAATCATGTTTCTTTCACAGTCAGTTAGTATTGTTTTTATTTCAAAGTTTGATTTTTTAACTTATTTAGGCTTAGAACAGTATTATGTACTTAGTTATTCCTTACCTAAATTCACTCTCAAAATGGAACCAGTAAATTATGAGATATTCAAGGGGCACTCATTTACTGGTATTATGGCATAACATACACTTGAGCCTTTTTTTAAGTACCAAGTTCTTTTTATGTCTTAGGATTTTGTGCTGGTAAAGAAAAAAACAATAAGATGGAGCCCCATGTTTTCAAACTAAGTCTACATGTTTGCACCATTGAGTCTAAATTATTTAGAGCAGTTAACAATATCCGTTTTTGTGGACTGCTGGGTAGCAACATTGCATGCGTTTTGGTTATAGATTGAAATAGTTATTTATCAGGTGGATCTCGTTGTTTGACTAAGTCAATTGGAAACTTGCATCTATTTCTGTGTATATGATTTTTATGTGTGTGTGTGTATTCTAAGAATGTCTGTATATAGGGGTCATCAGTGGATTTGATCATAAAACTGCAGTCAATTTGCACAAAATAACTGTGCAGGGTGACAAATCAGGACACTGGGAGGAAGGGCCGAGTGCATGTCACCCTCTTTATCCATCTCTGTCCATGATTATACTAATGAGATTCTAACAGATTTAGATTTTCCAGCAATTATTTCTCTCAATGAATATTTTATCAGGTTTGATATACCATCCTAAAATAAAGAATGTTTGCATAATTAAAATTCTACCCCAACTGCAATCTATTTTCTCATATATACTAAATAGAAGCAATAGTTTTTGTCTAAGGTTTCTCTGACATTCTATTGATGATCACTTTCTTTACTGATATTGGTAATTGATGCATTAGATGGATTTTACAATATGCTTGATCTCACTAAATAAACATGTGGCTTTTTGACCAAAGAGTACAGCAAGAAAAAAAATGCTGACTTGATGTGCATGTTTTTCCAGAGACCAGGGTAAATTCAAAGAGGCGGGCAACTTGCTTCATGATGCCCTTATCATCAGGGAGAAGACGCTGGGCATGAGCCACCCTGCTGTGAGTTGACTGTTTACTTTTATACTCTCTTTCAGACTACGGCGTATGTGCACAGCTTACAATACATACAACTCCAGTCTCCCATAAATAGTTCAGTCTGTAGATGTCAGGTGAACTCCTTTGTTCATCCCTTGATGTCTTCAATGTTTTTAATTTTGAACCTTAAAAAAATGAAAATATAAATTGACAGAATTTAAGCCTTTGACAAGCCGCTAAAGTCATTGCTTTGAAAAGAAAACATTTTAAAGAGGATCTCCCACCCCCCCCCCCCCCCCAGACTAAAAAAGGTGGTGAGACTTGGTATCAGTTAAATACTGAGCTGTGCACATGGGCACCTGCGTAGTATTTTCAGATGTCAGATCCATGATGGAGGAGAGCAGCCGGCCACCAGCAAGTTGTTTTGTTCTTGTTTCAAATATTACATTTTTCTATAACAAACGTTGACTTTTCTTGTTTGTACCCAACCACTTGCAAAGGGACCAAGGCAAATACAAGGAAGCGGCCAATCTACTGAATGATGCTCTAAATATTCGTGAGAAGACGCTCGGCCCCGACCACCCGGCTGTGAGTTGTATGCTGATGGTTGTGTTCTCTGCATGAGCAGTCAATTGTGATGCTCGCATGCTTTTATATTCAGCCCTGTTTGGTTTTAAATGACCCGTGCTGCAGATTTTTGTTTGATGTTTTGGAGAGCTGTAGTGACTTATTTCATTCAATTTTTATTTTTTTTACAATTTTTGTTCTGAAGTTTTTTGGTTTTTGTGAATAGTTGGTGTCCGTAGAAACTCTGATTTAAAAGATTTTGTTAATAACTGAAAATTCCTGCCGTAGATTGATGTTGGTATTTGATCATTTAGATAATCGACCGCGGCATCCAGTTCTTATGATGAGTTTCATGTCTATTCTCTATTAGCCAAGGGTCATTTTAATGGTAAACAATAAATAGGATCTGGTCCTTTTTCTCTTGAATCTAAAAGAAGGATGGTTGTAAACATTTCAAACTTTAAGAAGAATAAAAGAATTATTAGTTAATGAAAAGAATTAAATGGAATATTAAGTTACAGGAAAAAAATATGAAGTAAAATATTAATACTGTTTAGTTTTTCTAATCTTCATTTAATTAAAAATTTATTTAAAAACTTGTGTCATATTGGCTTTGGCTAAAGATTTTCAATGAGTTTTGAAAAAAAAAAAATTTTGTTTTCCAAATGTATGTAGTCCTTTATGTAGTGTGTTATGGTTCTTGATTTTCAAAAATTGATTTTGCTGTTTAAATTTAAGTGACGATTTATCCCAATTATTGTCCACTTACTGTTGAATCTATTGTTAACGCTTTTGTGTCTGTCATTTTTGTCTTTTCTCACTTAAGTGTTAGAACTTAACTTGGTTGAAATGTTTCCTAAAAAAAAACCAAAAAAAAACAAAGCAAAAGTTTGTAACATTGTTTAGTGTGTAGATGTTATCACAACAGTTTAGCCCCTACCTAATGTATCACGTCTCCTTTCACTGTGCTGGATCATTTTTTTTTAGTTTTTTAAACATACCTAAGGAATTAAATATTTAAGATTAATAAGTTCATGTAAATTTTAAAAATTTTGCACGTGTAAATTTTGTTCTAAAAAATGATAGCACTTAATGTTGTGTATTTTGCAGATGTAGCATCCATGCATGCAAATTGAAATTGCATGTTTCCTTCTGAAAATGCATAACCATTAGTTGATGTTTTCTTTTAAAAGATTTGTTTCCTAAATTGAATTAATTGATGTTTCATGAAGAGTGCTATCTCCTTCTTTTATTTGTATGACTTGTAGTAAAATTGTTGTAAACTTACATAATCATGGTAACATTTTTCAAAAAAAATTAAGATTAAAATAATCAAAATACTAAGAATAGATGCCATTTTATTCAATGAATACGTTTTTTCCCTTTGATATCTTTGTTTTTTTAGTCATATATCTTTCTTTTTCAAAGAAAGCCAAAGATGATAAATTACACACCCTACAAATTGAAAAGATAATTTTCAAAGATACTCTTGTAATATTTAAAATAATTAAAATTTTCAAAAAAATATTTTTTTAAGTGTCAGTAACTTTACAATATTGTTTTGAATTGTAAGCTTCTTGATAATTGTATTTGTGTTATTTTCCTGACCTTTGAATCCCATGCTTCTATCTTTGTTTTCCTACAGGTGGCTGCCACACTGAACAATTTAGCCGTGTTGTATGGAAAGAGAGGCAAGTACAAAGAAGCTGAACCGTTGTGTAAACGAGCTCTTGAGATTAGAGAAAAGGTAGGATTGCTAAATATAGCCTTAAAAGATTTTAGTGCTTGGGCACACATGATTAAAAAAATTTTAATTTTATATTGATTTTCAGTTAATCATTGCTTTAATTGTTGGAGAAATTGATAAATTTAAACTGTGTTAGGCCTTGTATCAATTAGCATATCAATATCTCTTTTGTACAAACTTTTACAAAAAATGAAACAGAAAAGACTCGATGTATGTATATATATATAAGCAGTGGTACCTCGTCCATTGCAGGGAGTTAGGTTCCAGGACACCAACACACACACACCCTCCTTGCACACGATCTGTGAAAATCAGCGAAGTTGGGACCTTCTATTTAATTCATTATTTATATACATTTTAAGGCTTTATAAACCCTCCCCAAACTTATAAACCCTTCTGACATTATTGTTTATTTTTCCCATACGGATAAAAAGCTTTCTTAGCACTTAAACTCTTTATACCCTCTTAAACCTTCATAATTTTTCCATATGAAATTCAATATGGGTAATCACCAGTAAATATGCTACAATTTGAATGATGAAGATGATAGTGACTTAGCTTTTTAGTTACAGATCTTCTGAAGGTGTCACTTCATCGGGCATTTTCTTGTGGGAGATAAGATTATTATCGTATCCGGAAATTTGATCGAAAAAAATTTCGTCGATGGTAAAATTGATCGATGGTAATTTGATGGAACGGAAATTTGGTCGAATCTTTTTTTCAGTTTTTACGTTAAAATTTTGCTTCAAATTTCTTTTTGAATGCATTATTTTGTTTTACTATATAGTATACTGCGTTCAAAAAGAAATTTGAGGAAAATATTAACGTAAAAACTGAAAAAAAGATTCTACCAAATTTCTGTTTGATGAAATTTCCGTTGATCAATTTAAAGTCTACGAAATTTCTTTCGATCAAATTTCCGGTAATCGATTATTATAAACCGACTTGCCACCCTCGACTGTATTTGCTGTGACAATGTGTGTTTTAAACATGAATTTGTTTGTTTCATCTTTCTACAGGTGCTAGGCAAAGACCACCCTGATGTGGCCAAGCAGTTGAACAACTTAGCCTTGTTATGTCAAAATCAAGGCAAATATGAAGAGGTAACATCTGACCCCATTAGACAGTATTACTCATTACCTACTTTTAATTTTTTTAAGTATAATAAAATAACTTACCTAAGGATATCAAGAAAATTTATTTCAAAGTTAATTTTTAATACAGATATTCCATTGGTTGAATTTTTAAAATGTGGGTACTCTGTTCCTGAACAGGTAATCTTTATACAATCTTTAAAAGCCTTTGTCTTAAAATAATCTTTACAGTCTGTCTTAAAATAATCTTTATACAGTCCCAATCTTAAGATAATATTCATAACATCTCCATTTGATGGCTTTCACTTCTAGCTTACATTGAGATGATTGGTTAATGTTTAGCCCTCAAGATTTGATTATTGAGAATTTAGTTCCTGCCTGATGGAATTGTCTTTACTGTGTGCAAAGCACAGGGTATATAAAAACATACCAGAATGTGTGTTATCTTTTGTATCCATGCTTCCTTTTTGTTTTGTAATACTTTGATAATCAAATACTACTGCTGAAATGAAACTTTAAAATAAATTAAGCATTAAAAAAGCATACATTTTTATTACAAATTTACCGCTATATGCAGAAATTTCACAATAGTTAGAATAGTTAAATATCACCTCAACACTTTTGAAGATGTGGCCATAGTATCATTAGCACGGTCATTAAGAGGCAGTGGCTGAGTTCTTACGGTCCAAGCTAATATTGATTCCAGGTGGAGCAGTACTATCAGCGAGCATTGGAGATCTATGAGGGAAAACTTGGCCCCGATGATCCTAATGTAGCTAAAACTAAGAACAATTTGGTAAGGGCCATAGAGCCAGACTTCCTTCACTGGGTTAATGTGGAGTATTCATTGTCCAGACCAGCTTTTGGTGTTTGACTTTTTTGTAATATTGTAGTTTTTTTGCACTAAGAAAAAGGTAGTGCTAACTTATGAGATATTAATTTCGTCCCCCACCTTAAAAAATATAGATTTAAATTTTCAAAGAATATAGAAGTAAACTTTAAATGTCGTTTATTATAATCTATATTCAGAATTAAGTGTTACATGGCACTGGAAAAGAGTTAGCTTTGTCTCAGATTTGAAGATGAGAAAAGAGAGATATCTATAATTTTATTATGAGCACTATCTTTTTTTTTTTTTTTATCTATTTTTCACTTTGATTTTTGGTTGCTTTTTCCTTTTTCTCACAGCCTTTTTTAGACAGGAAATGGGGATGATGATACAAAACTTCCAGATATCCTCTTAAAACAAAATTAATTTTATTATGAGCTTTATCTTTTTTTTTTTTTTTAGCTATTGTTCACTTTGATATTTGGTGGCTTTTTCCTTCTTCTCACAGCCTATTTTAGACAGGAAGAGGTGATGATGAGACAAAACATCCAGATATCCTCTTAAATCAAAATAGTGCCAGCAGATTTCCAATTCCAAGGGATTTTCACTGCATTTAAACTCAATAGTCCATTTATTTATGCAATGAGGTTGAGGTTTAGATATCTGACTTGACATCACAAGTTTGTGTCATGCAATGTCAAGTGTTTTGTACTATGTCTAAATATTTGACTTGCTACCCCAAGTTGATTATTGTTGGAAGTTGTACAAGATGCTTACCATTGATGGTTGTAGAAAAACACAGATCATTATAAGTTATATCATGTCTGCAAGTTTTTTGTGTGTTGTTTTTCTCCCCTTAAAACTTATTTTTTCCCTCACTTCTCAGGGGTGCTTCATCCATTTTATTTCTTTTTGTTATTTTGGTGTGTGTCCTTGTTTCAGGTGGAAAAATATTACCAAAGGGCTTTAGAAATATACAAGAAAAAGTTGGGGCCGGATGATCCTAATGTTGTGAAAACTCAAAATAATTTGGTAAGCGGTTACGGCTAGGAAGTGGGTAGCCTGAAAGTTGTAGCGTCCAAAAGCCTTAACAAATGTGAGCATGAGCATGTCAAACAGCAAATGGACATTTTAGTTCAAGACGGTTGTAGGCTTGAAAATATGAAAACAAGTAACTGCCTGAAGAATTGTAGTGTTTTTTGTTTTACTCATCGAATTTGAAATTTATATTCAATACACTTATTAATGTGGGTAAAGAATATTAATGTGAAAGTCAGCTGTCAAATATTTCAATGCAAACAAAAATATCTAGTAAACCAATCAAATTTTTATAAATTGATTTTCATTTTTAAAAATGTTGTTATTTTCTGTGTTGTATTAAATGTTAAGTGTACTATTTAATGTTAGTTGTTATTAATATCTTTATTGTTTAAATGTATTTATTAGAAAGGATCAAGGTTGTTATATTAAAAAGCACTCATTCCATGTATTTCGTCATCACTAAACACTCTATTATAGTTAATTTAGTCAAACTACTGAAAGCAAAGTTAATTTGGTGAATAAAGTTTTGTAAAGTACTTTTCTTTGGTGGATTTTAAAGATTGAAAGTCCAGGACACCATTTGTAAAATAAATATAAAATGTTTAATTAACAAAAATATCCTCTAACAAAAAAAATGAAAAATAACATTTTAAAAAATTCAAACCGAGAATTTAACTAGATGTTAACATGGTAACTCATCAACAGCACGGCAGACTTGTTTTATTTCTTGTCCTTTTTTAATTCCGATTTCTTTAATATATGTTATTAATATTATAAAGGTTTAGTCTAGTCAAGAGTTTGATTGATGTTATTAACTTTGGATACATAAAGCATCCATGAGTTTAATTTATTTTAAGATTTAAGACATAATCCAGTCAAATTTTTAATGGTAATATTAACATTCAAATCTCAGTTTAATTTATGTTAAGATTAAAGACATAATCCAGTCAAGAGTTTAATTTATATTAAATAAATGTATCAAAATAATGTTAAGTTTAATTAGCTAATCCAATCAAGAGTTATTATTTTTACACCAGGCGTCTGCCTATTTGAAACAAGGAAAATACAAGCAAGCTGAAGTTTTATATAAAGAAGTTTTAACAAGGGCGCATGAAAAAGAATTTGGAAAAGTAGAAGGTATACTGTTACGTTCAACTTAAGTTAATTAACATTTTGACCTATGCTTAAACTTTTATCACCAAAAAAAAAGTTAAAAGTACTTGTTGGAACTGAGATTTCTCCTTGATGCAGGGAAAACTGTCGCAATTGGGCAATTGTAATTTTTGTGTTATGCAAGGTTTAACAAACCAATTTACTATAAACACATTTTTTAAGATTATGTAACAGGACCATATTTATCTGATATCTTTGTGTTCCTATTTAGGTGAAAATAAACCTATATGGATGAGAGCAGAGGAGAGAGAAGAAAATAAGGTAACAATATTTTATGAAAGTCTTTTTTGGTACTTTTGTCAACAATGAGCCCTGGTAAAAAGCCAGCTCTAACATTTCTCCTACTTTTAATTAAGGATTATTTTTTTGTTGCTTGTGTTGGTTAATAAAGAAATTTGCATTTTGTTGAACTAATTAATTTCATGGTATGAGATTGTTGTAGCTAAGACATTTTTAAAAGATTCTTAATTGATTAACTACCAGATTGAAAATCCCGCTGTGGCTGAATTAAATCTAGGTCACATTCTCTCATTTTAGGTGTATGTACAAATTCAGATGCAGTTTTCTTAATAATAAACATAGTCTAATGATTAATAAACCATTTTATAGGTCATTGAATTGTTTATAAGATTAACGTAAAACATTTGAAGATTTGTTAGGAAATAATTTATTATTAAATTAGTATTTACAACAGAAAAACAATTTAAAAAAATATATAAATGTGCCAACTTACATATAAATTTGAAATTTCCAAGTCATTTAAAGCCTTTTATTTGGTGGTTTCCAAATAGTATATCCAATAATAATAAATATGCACCAAAGAACACAGCAATTGAATAATATTTACACTTCCAATCACTTATATACCTGTAAACAAGTAGTGCAATTTTGTAACTAGCTTGGAAATTAAATCAAAATATATTAACAGCTCGTTTTTTAAAAACATTTTGCCGATACCATGTTGTTCAAATATAAACATCCAGTCAATAAATTAAAATCTCGAAGCAAAACTGAAACGGATGATATAAATATTTGACTCGATTTACGATACAAACATTGGCGCTACCAGGGGCTTGTGGCCATAACGGAAGAAGCGCCGAGCCGGTCCCACTGGCTCATGGTAGTTAGCCAGTTAAAGATTGTAAAAAGGAACAAGTGAACCATGATGTTATGAATATTATATTTGTTGACATTCACTACTTTTCATTGTAAAATCCTAGAGGGGGTTAATAGATTACAAGCATATGACTTACATTTTAAAAGAAGAGGAATTAGAAGGAGGAAATTGTTTTGAAAAACTACAAAATGTTGCTATAACAGTAAGGCTTGACCATGTGGGATAGTACCACATCCAAATCACAATTAACTTTTATTCATAGGTTATATTTTATTCAGTTTTATTGGAACTGTTATATATATTTAAAAACTTTCTATCTTGATTTGTCGTAGGGCAAGAGTAAAGAAGGTGCTCCTCCATTGCCAGAATATGGTGGCTGGCATAAAAATGCCAAAGTTGATAGGTCTGAATTCGGCATTTTATTCATCGTTATAATTTAATTTTTTATATTTCTCTTTTAAAAACAAAAAAAGAATAGCTTTTTTTTTTTTTTTTTAAAGAAAAAGGGAAATAAAACTTAAAATTAGATGTATGAAATGTTTCTTTGTAGCCCACAAGAAATTCACTGTGGTAAAAGACAATGGTCATTTAGATTTACTGAAGACTCCCAATTTTTTTTTGTAGGGAAACTTAAAGTTTTTACACAATAGAAGAATAGAAATACTGCTTGAAACGATATCGAAGTCCTAGTAAAATAACAAAGCTGCTTATATCGACAGTAGTTGATAGCAGGTCTTTGTCCTAACCAGCGAGTCTCCCATTTCTGTCCCCAGCCCAACAGTAACTACAACACTTAAAAACTTGGGTGCTCTCTACCGCAGACAAGGAAAGTATGAGGCTGCAGAAACCTTAGAGGAATGTGCTATGAAGTCCAAGAAAAATGTGAGTACAGTGTGTTATCCACATACCTAGGAAGAGTGTGCACTACTGAAATTATGTGAGTACAGTGTATTAGCAGATACCAAAGAAGAGTGTGCACTACTGAACTATCAAGCTCAGCTTTATTGTATCATTCATTCATCATGGCTACTTTTATTTTGTTGATCAGTGTATTTCTTTCAAGAACATTCAAGCTTTTTTATTAGCTCTTTTGGAGTGAAGAGACCTTAGGCTTTATTTCTTTTCATTAGATGAATGCCAAATATTTTGTCAAACATTTTTCTATTTAAATTAAAATCAAGGCCGACAATTTGATTTTTTAAAGTTTAAAAATAATTATTTTGTGCAAAGAAAATTCAAGTATGTTGAGAAATGTCTATTGCCATATTTAATGCATCCTTTATCAGTGTATGGTGGTATGTGTTAATCCATTGAGATGGCCAAAGCTATTAAAGGAGCCATTTTTAATGGAAGTCTTACAAGTTGGAAGAATACTCTTGTTGAAAAACATTGTTTAGTGCTAAAATATTGCTCCAGGCATCTACCATTCCTATTATGAAATATTTTAAATAATTAAAGGGGAACAGGATGCTATTTTATTTACAGGCAACTTTCATTTTTAAAAAGTAATAAAATAAGTGAATTTGGACATTTTATAATGGACTGGAATAAAACAATTTTAGTCCCTCATTTTCTTCTAACTTAAAAGTTATAGAGCAATCTTACGTTTAAATTTTAAGGTGAGAAATTTTTATAAGTTGTGATATAAAAGCCTTAGTTATCTTTTATAACAGTGTCTGTAAACTCTTGAAAATTTTATGCTTTTTTCACTGAAAACACACAATTCCTAAAATTATATGGAAGCTTGGATCAACATATAAATCACAACAGTGCTACTGTTTCAAGTTGCCTGTTAGTACCAAGATGTTTACAAAAGTGACATAAAAATCACGATTACTGTAAAACTAAGCAGAATCCAAAACAGCAGTAGTGAAACACCTTGACCTACAACAGTAAATAGATTCTAAGCTGCTGAGAGAAATTGAAGGGACAACAATGGTTGTTGACAGGCATTACACACAGCAGAGAAAATATAGAATTTAATTCAAGCTTTTGAAATAAGTTCATTTGACATTTTTTTATATTTGCCAAGTAAAATAGTTGCTAAGTGTTATATTTGTCAAGTGTTATAGTTGCCAACTGCTCCATATAGAGTGTTGAAAAACTAACTGTGTGCTTTTAAATTTATGGGTTTTTATTTTGGGATTATTCACAATTATTTGAAGGGAACAAGTTTTGTAACAATGGTGAAATGTTTTATAAAGATTTATCCCTTTAGCACGACTGCCTTCAACTCCACTCCACTTTGGTGAATGCTGCGAACAGTCCATTCACACTCTGATCTGGTCTTTCAACTTTTATCTTCAATTCACTCAGCCATTGTCATCACAATAAATCATTGTCTCTTTCTCAAACATTTTCACATTCATTTGTATGGGAGTAGTATGCATTATTTTTTTGTCTTTATTTTTTAATATATTTTTTTTGTCTAGAAGTTGATATCTTCAATGTAAAAATGTATGTTTATTTCTTTTACTCCTTGAAGAGATTTTCTTAGCTGTTTCTAACATTTCTAAAACAGTTTAGTCTTTATTTGGCCATTTTGTCTGATGGAACTTTACTTTGTGTACATAAAATTTGTGTTTTTAAAAGTCAAACGCAACTTTAAAAATGACATAAATTGTCATTGGTTTTTTTTTTATTACTCTTTTATTAAGTTGTATTGTGATAGTTAAGGTCTAAATAAAGGCTTGTTTTGAATAAATGATAAAGTAATTAATGTGTTAAGGTCTAATATCAAATCCTTGTTGAATGTGTGTATGATACACCTTGTTCCCTGCACGACAAAACAGCTTACAATATGTGTCATTATGCATGATGTGAAAGGTTAACAAAATTTGTGTTATTTTGAAAGATGAGACTGCATTGGTTTTGTTTTTTCCCCTGAAAACTTTGAATCATATAATAACTATTTGGCAATCTCTTTTCATCATCTTGCATCAAATATTTATCTCAATAGTGGGTTATGTATAGCTTTCTTGGTTTTTTTAATACTAACTGCATCTTGTGCCTAGGCTGTGCCATCCTTTTGATTTAACCTTTTGAGTTTATTTAGCTGCAACTTTGTATCAGAATAATATGAGGTTTGTGTCTTGGAAGAAGTTTTAAACACTTTCAATTTGAAAATATTAGTTTAGAATTTTGTGAAACTTGATACATAAAAACATTTTAGTATTTTTAAAAAGGTACTTTAGGCCAATATAAATTACAAACTAATCTTAGGATATCATTCCACATCCCTTCCACTTCAGTTGATAGAAGTTTTGCATGTTTTAAATGTTTGTTTACCGTCTTTGTAAATCTAAATTTTATAACACAGTTCTGATGCTTGTTTGGCTGGTGTTATTGTTATTAAATGTTAAGTGTAAGATTCATCTCTTGCCAAGTTATAAATAGAACATGGCACGCTCATCAAGAATCAGATTCCCTTCCGATAAAGTTAGGTTTTCTTTCTTTGGTTGCCTCCCCTGGCTATGTAGGCATTGACAGCAGGTGGGAAGATCGGCAAACTGACCACAGATTTGGGTATAAACGACACCCCACCTGCCTCCAACCGGGGGCGAGTGCAAGCCCGCAACCCCAACGATCCCAACGAAAATGAAGATGTGAGTAGCGGCATGTGGCTGGGGGACGGGGTGAGTATGAGCACTGCCTCCTGACATGAAAACTTTCCAATTGCGGCTGATCAGCCAAAAATGCTCACATTTAGGCTTATTAGGGTTCATAGCTATTCCTTGATTTATGCTTTTCTCTCCCAATACAAACAAAAAAGATGTCATCCCTTTGCTTTTTCTTTCTTATTTGGATACTTAAATGGACATTGATTTAACTGATTGGAATTACAAAATAAAATTGTTAGAGGAATTTGTTTAATTTTTTTAAAAAGTTTTTACCCATAAAAGAACTAAGGATAAGCAATAACTGAGCCAAGTCATGGTTAAACAGTGAAGAAACTAATGTGTGAGGAGAGATTTGAAAAGTTCATTAATTATATTATTATCATTGGAAAGATTTCTTATTGTCCTCTCAGTGAAGAACAGCTAGGACTATTGTGTTGGCTTATGCTTAATGTCATTCTGCATGAATAGACTTTTTTATTTATTATTAGTCTAACCCTGTCTGCACATGCTCTTTTTTTACCTGTACCCTCTCACAACCAAAATAAAAAAAGGAGGAGGGGGGGGGGGGGGGGATTTTTTTTTTTTTTTTTTTTTTGTTTTGTGTTTGCTGTTGTTTGATAACCTTTAATACTAAATTTGTTAAACGAGATTAAGTTGTGGTTTATTTTAAAAAGTAAATAACAGAATTACTTCCATTTATTTGCAGCCCATAAACTTCCTTCCTACTTGTGGAGTAAATGCAATTCTCTGTTAACACTGTTTGTTGTCACTTTTAACCTCTTTCTTGGCACCTTTGTTTTTATCTCAGACTTGTAATCAGCAAGTATAAATCAGGAGATAATCTAATAATATTAAAATTGTTTCATATTTAGTTGGAAACAAATTATTACTCCATTAATGTTGTACTCAAGTGTAGCATGTCAGGTGTGGCGGAAATTTATTTCAAAAGAACAGAAATTGCTGGATCAGTTAGCCATCCTTTTATAAATAGAACTATGAAAGGAAATGAAATTAGTAGCATGATTATTTAGGTGTAAGTTTCAATACAAGTGAATAACACCGATAATATGATCCAAGCAATAATTTCAATATTAAAATAAAATATATTATATTTACATTGATAACTTATAAAAAGAAAATTGTGGAAACAGAAAATTTTAATATTTAATTTTAGAACAATTTTTTTACACTAAAATTGTGTTATTCTTTTAACAAATTTGTTAAATCTTTGAAGCCAATTTTAAAGAAATTATTAATTGTGTTCAATAAAAGTTCTATTTAAAGTGTGGCCATTCGATGGAATTAAATTTATCTTTTATTTTAGCTAAAATGTTTAAATTTATCTTAAATTTGGTTCTAGTAAATGTATAAAAAAATAAAACACAAATAATAGAATTTTAATTCAACCACATGTGGGCATAAAACTTTTTCCAGAACCAGTTTTACAAATGAATTTTTTTGAAGGAGAAAGAAAAATAAATAATTTATAACCGATTGATAAATTTCATGCAAAGTATTTATAATTAATATAAAAACCAATAATTTCTATTGTGACAATAATTTTCAAACATTTGAAGCTCAAAATCTCTAAAGCATTTAGAAATATTTAGTTTATCATTCCTCAGTTGGAATATTACATGCATATTAAATGCTTTGTGTGTTTAGAATTACAGTATTGTTGTATACATTTTTGTTCTAATAGCGCCATTGATATGTAGCCTTACAGTAAGGCAAATATTAGGGACTGATTCACTGAGAGTTATCCTGAGCATTGGCAGTGCTCATACAGTATTTAATATAATAACTCAATAATCTGTATTCTTAATATCTTTTCACTTATTTTATATTCTCTTTTCAACAACTTTATTGTTAACCATTTCTTTTTTTTTGTTTTAAGGGTACATGGGACATTTTAAAAAAAAATTATTACACAAATACTTTTGTGTTTTTTTTTTCGTTTTTTTCTTAAAATGTGTCAATCATTTCTTCATATTTTGGTTCATTTTAAAAAGATCTTAGAAGGTATTGATTGAATATATTTAAACAAGTATAACTAAATTTTAAGTAACCTAGAGATTGTACTAACTTTAACTAAAAGATATTGATTTTTTATAATACCGGGTAATTATAAATTGTTAAATTGGATATTTAAATAATGTGCATCAAGAGAATAGAATGTATACCAAATGTTTATCTTAACAAGATATCCTCCAAAATGTTATATGATTCCATACTTTAAAAACATTTATCTTTTTAAAGGCGATAAAATTTATATTAAAGATTTTATTTTAAAATGATGAAAGTGGGTTGTTAAAAAAATATTTATATTCAGTGTAAGCAAATAGATTCTTGGAAGAGTTATGTATTTAGGCTAAATTTATTCATCCCATGCAGCAACAGCTATTTTGTTTAAAATGTGTAATTAAGAGTACTCTCAATGCCAGCCTTATTATTTGATTCACCTTTTATGCTTTTCATATTATAATTTACATGGAATATCAAATTTAATATCTATATAACTTCATTTTTATTTTATTTGATCACTCTTTCACATCACATCTATCCAATCATCATCCACTTCTCCATCAATCCTTCAATCACATTGCCCTGTCATCTTAATGACCAATCAGAGTGGAAGGATGCGTCGCAGTGGCTCATTCACCAAATTGAGGGCGTCGTTGAAGCGTAGCAGTGCCAAACTGGTCCAGAAACTGAAAGGGAAAGGGCCCGAAGGGGATTCTGGTGGAAGGTATGGGAGGCTGCTTTTATTTTGTTCTTGCAATGTTGTAGAGAACTATTGCACCCTAGCATTATTGCTTTCTAGTCTTAACAAAATTAAGCATATAAGTTATAAATGATCCAAAAGCAATTTCTATGATGTTGAATAAAATTTCTAGAGAATTATTTGCAGTGGAATAAATTATCCATTTTATAACTATGTACAAATAACATTGAGTTTATAGCGCAATAAGAGAATATTAAGCCTTAATAATAGCTGAACATTTGTACAATCTGTGTGTTTCATGCAGTAAATTTGTGAAAATGAATGAGGAGATAATGTTAGGTCTCAAGCTAAGAAACTTAATGTACATTTTTTTTAATGCTTATGGGATTCATATATCTATATAGAACTGTTTGAGGATCTTGTTTTAAAAATTAATTAATATTAAATTTAATTTGTATTTTCTACTTAACAAACAATATTCTTAGTGTAGTAAACTAGGACTAAAAAGCTTTGGTGCATGTATCTAAAGCACACTGATTGTGACCGTAACCTTGACCTCTTAACTCTAGATGTCAGGACCCCGCCATATTAAATGTTGCTCCAACGTGTAAAAAAAAAATGCTAGTAAACTTGATCCATCAATTATTAGTGCTAGAACCATATACATGCACAATTTTGTAACCAAGATATTTGCTACTAGATTTTTTCCAAAGCATACATCACGTGGAATCTATGGTTAGATCAATATTATTGGCTTTGGTTCAACTAGTGCTCCACAATGGCCTTAAATAGATACAATAAAACCAAGAAACTCAAGGAAGTTATCAAAATTACATTTTGTAGTGGAATCGAAAATAATGTTTTAATGAACAATTCAGTTCTCAATAAAAAATTAAGCAACATTTTTTTTATGTCTACTTGTTGACACTTTCTCTCTAACAGCCTTAATTGGCATGTTCGAAGTGTTTACTATACTGAAAGGTTTGTTACACATATATTATTTCTCACCCCATCTTTTTTCCATGTGATCCGCATTCCTTACAGGAAATATAATGCTTTATCCCGCAATTTATATGAAATTTAAAACAAATATATTCTAATTATTAGAATATTACTAAAAATGTATAAGAAGTGTTATATTAATATAGAAAAATTAATATAAATTGTTCTGACAATACATTATAATGTTTTTTAAATTTAAATCTTCTTGGAACAGAAAATTAATTTTTATCCATATCTGTTAAAAATCTGAATTATATATCTGAAATTGAGGCATTTTAAAACAAAAAAAATAATAATAATATTGTCCTAACTTAGACAATGTTAAGCTAAAGTTTGCTTTTGACCAATACAATATTGACCAATCATTTTGAACCCGTTACCAACTCCTTAAACACCATTTGTCCACTATCTTTCCACCTTCTTCTGACAGAAACTGGATAGCCCTGGAAAGGTCAGTGTAAAAGTTCGTGCCACTAGAGAACTGTGACCTTCACCCTAGACACTATCATTTGTACACATCTTTTACGTTCTTGCTTCAGTTTGTTTTACTAACATTATTTTTTATTTTAGTTAGCCGATGCAAGGCTGCTCCTATCCTGATGAAGTTTTAGGATAGCTCTTTATTCTCCTTAAACTTTTGTGTTTGTCAACACTAGGAGTAGTATTTTGTGTGAAATCTAATCAAACTTCATCAGCCCCATATATATTGCCTAGTAAGGAGTGGGAAGGGGTCTTTTAGAAGTCCATCTGAGGATTGTCATTGTTTTATTTTTATTTTCTGGGGTTTGGATCAAACACTTTATCATTTACATGTTTGAATTCCTAATAATACTACTCAAAGAAATTATTTTATAATTTTATAATTTAATAGAGAAATAAGTTGTAAATACATAAGTTGGATAATTGTTATCTAGTTGTTTTTAAAATTAGCCAGGATACCAAGAAAATTTTGCCCTCAACATGAGATTTGCTTAATTTGGCAGGACTAAATTTTTATGACACAATGCTTTTCACAAATTCTTAAAATTAATACTACTGATTATTTGTCTGGTACTTACTGAAGGTGAAATTACTTTACAATGCACATATTTGAGTGCAATTGCTTTACAGTACAGTGCACATTGAGAAAATTTCTAACTCACAACATTTATGCAAATAAATCCATGGATTGTAAGAGAGTTTTTTAATAGTAAATAGATGTATTTCTTTATACTTTTTAAAAGTAATGTTTATATATATATATTATATTTAGGAGATTTTTATTTATTTTTTACAAAACATAAAAGTATTAAGAGTACATAGAATCATTGAGTTGTTTATTGATTGATAGATATGTGTAAATTTTTTAAAGTTCAACTTCAGATTTTATAAAAACTCATTTTTTTTTTACAAAGATAACCTATTTTAAACTGAACAATAATGATGCACTTAATTGTCTGTTTTGAGTTCTTGTGTATAAAACTGTCATATTTTGCCTTTTTTTTTTTAAATTTGAGGATTTTGTCCATAATGTCTTTTTTCAAACCATGTGCATATTTATCTACTTCACAAACTTATCTATCTACATGACAAACTAATCTACTTGATCAACTACTCAAATTAGTGAACTATTTTAACAAATTTAAAGACATAACAATACTTTCACTTTATATTAGCTCGCTGTAGGTGCAAAAAATTGCTTTAAAAAGAGAATATTATAGCTTGTAAGACATGTTACCATTTTTTGTATTTGCTGTTGCTGTAATCATGCTTCTTGCTGTATTGTAATATTTACTGCACTGTGCTCACCCAGCTCTATGGAAGTTAAACTTTGAAACCCACCACCTCAAGTTATCTTCTCCTTCTATACTAGAAAGTTTGATAACTTTTTTTTAAAAAGATGACTAGATTCAGATTGTATGATCCTTGTTTATCTTTCTTGCTTTGCCCTGTTGCTCCATGAGGGTACATTTCTGACATACATTGTTGTAGATTTGTAAGCTTGGAAGAAATGAATACATTGATAGATGCTGACTCTGCTGGATCTATAGGGTTACAGCAAGAATAAATTATGTCACTGTTGTTAATGTTTCATTTTGTGCTTTAGTCAAAGTAAGTCTGTTAGGGGAAGGCATTGATTTCATTTTATAGAGATCTTTACCTTCATAGTTGTGCAGGGCTGGACTCGAAAATGAATTCATTTTTGTATATAGGTACTCGCTATAACCCAGCTTGATAATTTTGACTGTTATAAACAAGGTTTTCCCTTGTATCTATTTATGACTTATAATCTTAAGGTGAGTCTTGCATTTAAGTGTGAATGTTAGAAACAAGGTTTTGTTATTTTGCATTCACACATTTAAGAAGTGTGCATAAATTAAAGCATACAATTTTAAATAGGATTCATTACAATATAGCTCCACTATTTCTCCCCTTTGTTTCATATATTCATTTTCTTTTAAAGCTTTATCGCAGTCCAAAACTCTTATATTCATTTTCTTAAAGAATCCAGTCAAAAATTGTACCCAGTATTAACTCACATGCACATTTAGTAAGAACAAACATTAAACTAAGAGTTTAAAAAATTTGCTTTAAAAGTAAAATAAATTTGTATGATTTGAATAGGAAATTTTATGGGAGAAGAATTTTTACCAATTTAAATTCATAATTTAGATGAAGAGATTTTCTGTGAAATGTAGATCTCATTTGTTCAACAAAAATATTTATAAAAATACTGGTACAGGTATTTATATTTACATTGTTGACATAAGTGGAGACATACATTTTTATCTTCATTTGTTATTTCTTTTAATCTCCTTTAGTATGAAAAGAGCAAGCTCCTTGTCAGTTCTCAACATAATCAGCAGTAATGAAGACAAGCTACATGTAAGTCCTTCTAAAGTAAACTGCATCATTTTTTGGTACCGGTATTACAATTAATTGAAAGCTTTAAGCCCTTAATGATAATGGGCATTGTTTTGTTAATTTGTCGATCATTACCACCATTATGTATGTTGAGTTTATAAATTAAATGTAAATGAGGGCATTGTTTAATGTACCTGTACTTTTGTTTTGTTAGTCTTTTGTGTTCCAACATAAGTATGACAATTATTTGCCTTGTAATACAAGTTGTGTTTTCTCTTTTCAATTTTTTTGTTGAAATCATTTCTTGCATACCCTTATATTATCCCCAAATTTCTAAAAACTTTTTGTCTATTTTCATTTTCTTTAGGAAAGTCGTCGTTCAGTTGGAGACTTGAGCATACAGAGCAGTGGAGACCTTAGTGTACGGGGAAGGACAGCCAGCACTGAACAGTTGTCTGCAAGATTAGTTTAGCTTGGGCTTTTGTTTAGCTGAAATTGGTTATCATTGTAACTGTGCTGAACACTGATGATGATTTACTTTTAGCTCCCTAATGCACTTATTTTCCTCACATCCTCTCATCTCAGACTATAGCAGTTTTATCTAACGTTTTCTCAAAGTTAGAATTTTTTACAAAATGACATATAGCTATAATGGATATCACAAATATTAGTAAAGATTCGCTAGTGGTTTGTTACTTTATAGGTACCTTATATCATTTCAAGAATTTGTCAAGTTACAGAGCCTTTCTCTTCTTTGCATCCTGCTGTAATGGTTCTTCATTTACTCTGGTGGAATACAGTCACCAAATAAAAATATATCTGTATAATATGAATACTTAGCTTTTTTCTGTAAATGATTTTGCATATTGGTAAGTGGTCCCATTTTAACCCTCAGCAGTCCGACATACCTTGTGTCAGTACATTCCCATCTTAACTCATTCCCGACGGTTGCGACTAAATGCGTCCTCGGGGGGTCCCTCCTGATGCGTCCAAATGCGTCCCGGCGCATAGCGACACACCTCTCTTATTTTTAGTTTAAAATAGCAATGAAATCTCGCACCCCTCGAGACTTCCGGCTATGGCGTGATTTCTGGGTGATTTTAATTTAGAAACCGGAAGTTTTTATCTTGTTTCACTTTAAAACTACGTGTGCTTTAGTACGGCGCGTCTATATGTACCATGTGTTCGTCCGAGGTGCCGAAAATCGATTTTTTTGGCCATTGTTCGTTATTTTTCCCCCGCTAATGTTATATTTATATTAAACCTTATTCATTTTTTGTTGCATTTGTTCTTAATTCATTAACATTAAATAATATTTAGCAACTTAAAAAAATATTTTAAAAATATAAATCAATTTCAAAACTGAGTTGCTTCCCTTTTCTCAGGAAAATAAATTAAGTCCGGAAGCAGCGCTGCCGGAGGGAATGAGTTAAAGAACCCAACATTGATGTGCTGTATAAACTATTGCTTTACCATGTAATTTGGTAATCACTGAGTCAGGATTGGATTAGAAGTAAAATGTGCATTTTTGGAGGGTTCTCACCTAAAAGAGTACCGGTAGTGAAATCTAAAATAATACAAAAATTATCTTTTTGTTTTGGATTAGTGGGTCATATAAATTTCTTCTTAATATGGTTTTATTTTAAGCTGCCGGTATGATTAAAGTGCTTATTTTATTAAAAGTGTTTAAATTTAAACAAATATTTAAGCCCCTTTGTTGTAACCTTCAGAGCAGAATGTGTAGGGTCTGCTCGGACTCCTGTGAGTTAAGATTCAATCACTTGCATCACAACACATTTATCAGTATCAGGCAATGGATTCATTGAGTATCCAAATAGGACAAGAACCATTCAGTTAAAACAATAGGGAAACCACTCTGCTAGTAGATATTTCCATTTAAAAAAAAATAAAAAATCCCATGTATATTTATTTCGATGCATACCTAATGCTAATATTATTTCCTTGAATCAACCACTCGGCAATGTCCAGCATGATGATGAAAGTTTGTGTGACTGATTGCAATACTGTAAATTATAAATATGATTTTTGCATTGGCATTTAGAGCCTACAATGTTGTTCAGTTTGCTTGAGGTTATGTTGTATTTCTATCACAAATATTTTTTTTACCTTCGATTAATAAAAAAATTATTACCGGTACTGGTATTTTTGATGCCTAGTCAACTCAACTATTAGTGAAGAATAATTCTTTTATTTAGTGATTTATCTTAGGTAATTAATTGATGACTAGCAGTTTTACAAATTTTGGTATGAGTGTACGTACATTTGTAAAGTTACAATTTGTGATTCAAGAGGTCTCCCGTACACAACCAATGGTCTTTCATTCCCCAGAACTGACCGCCTGGTCTGGACAGGACATCTGTCAATTCATGCTTTAAGTCCTTCACAGCTGATATCGATAGATTCTTACTTTACTGTAGCTGTTTTAAAAGCAACTCTAGTTCAAATTAACTTGTCTGTTAAAGCAAGACTTGATAAATGCTGATCAAGCAGTAAATAACAAAAACGCCCTCATAAATAAGTACAAAAAAAACACAATAGATTTTATTATCTCTGTTTTGTAGTTACCTGTTCATAAAGCTAAGTAGTGTGTAGTGCATTTTAGGTTTGGCATATGGTACTTTAAGAATGTTATTTACCGGTCCTTGATTTGATACTGATATGAGAAGCATGCTAGAGCTGAACATTTGTTAATCTTCTCTTCCTCACACCAATTTCGCTGTTTCTTGAAGAGAAGTGTTTTCAACTAAAAATGGCAATCTCTTTCTGCATCTTTGAAATATCTAGCAAGGCTGGTTTATTTTATTTAATCTTTTATTTGCTCCGCTTCTTCCTCCAACCATTTTATTATAATTAAATTAGGGTCCTTTTTGTTGTTTTTATTTAATGGGTTATCAAATAAAAGTTAGTTGTCATTATCAAAATTAAAAACCATTACTAATTAATAAAAATTATAAAAGTTTTGTTTAAAAAAATATTTAAAAATAGCAGAGCTCCAAAAATTCTTTAAAAACTTAGTGCCATCCAAGAATAACAAAATAATTTCTGCAATCAAACTATTGCAGGTTTGAGTACTTGAGTACGGTATCAAGGCATTTAGAAATGGAGCAATAATATTGATACTCATCATTCTTTCTTGTTCCTAAGATCTTAGGGGGAATTCATTCAAAATTTAGTCATATTCATTTCTTTCCTTTCCAGCAGGACTTCTGTAACTTAAAAGTGTCTGTTTTGTTTAGGAATAAGTCACTTGTCACCATACCTCATGAATGGCTGAAAATGTGTCTAAAACTAAAATCTAAGCAGGATGCACTTTGTGTGCGATGTGCTGCTAATGTCAATGTTTAAAGGCTGTGATTTTTTTTTTATTCATTCTTATTGTTACTGCTTTGTGTAAATATAGGGAAAGTTATCATTTTCATGTTGTATTTCTATAAATGTAATGGAATAATTGAAAGGTGTGCAGTGAGACAGAAACTGCAGAAAGACATTTTGGCCAAGACTTATTCACTAAGCATGTCACAAGCATTTCATTTGGTTGAAAATGTGTGATTGCAATTACCCAAACTGTGCTTGTTTTTATCCTTTTTCCTGTGCACCAAAAGAAAATAGTCAATGAAAACAATCATAGAACCATTATTATTGTACACAAGGTATTAATACATTTCTTTGACAAGGGCTGAAAGCTGCTTTGTTGCTTAACTTCATTTTGAACATCTTTGGTATAGAATATTTTTAGACAATTAATTTAAATACATTTGGTTAAACAAAGTTAGGAAAAAGCCAGGCATTCTTTATTTTATAATGTGAAAATGAGATTAGCTTATGCATTACTTAAATTTAAATGAACGTGCTTTCGAGTGGCCTTATTTTTGTCGGATCCTATCATTGCCAGTTAACGTTAAATGTTTTGTAATGACTACAGGAGATAGCTTCGAGTCAGCATCTCATTGCAATATCTTTAATAATCCCCATTACCATTCCATCAATCAATTGGCTCTAAGTGTTACCAGTATATAGCTTTTTTTTTTATTATGAGCTTTGATATGTGGAAACATGGTACATCCACCTTTAATTTTACCAGTTCCAAAGATAGATAGAACCATGACAATTAATGTTATGAAACAATGGTCTTATTAAAAAACAATGATTTCCAATAAAACTTTGGATTTAAAGAATAACAGCTCCATGGCTTACCATCACCATTTTGATTTCTTTTAAATTTCAAATTTGCTTTTCTCAATTTATGTGATTGTGTTGAGTATTTGCTGCAGTTTAATATACAAGCCCTGCTTGATTCAGTTATTACCACTCCACACCATTGCATTTGGTTCTTGTAATTGTACAAATGGTAGGCGTTTTTACTGCATTACTGCTTTTGAAAAGCAAAGGTGTTTGTCTATGTTATGAAAATGATAAAGATTAAATAAACTGAATTGTTTTGGGTTTTTTTGTGAGCACTTTTTTGCAAATTTAAAAAAATAATAACATGAAGGGAGTAATATTAAAATTAGATTGTTAATAAATACGGTATAATTAAAAGATGGCTTTAACCCTCTCACTAACAACATTCAAATAATAAACTGTAGTCTTTGTCTTAAGTAATTTTTTAAAAATTATCTAAAGCAAACCTAAACAAAATAATTAGCAAAGATAAGTAGAAAGAAGCATCTTTTTTAATGAAGTCAAGTTATTGTATGTTGCATTTATTGTATTAAATTATGTTAGTATATTGTAGTGTTATTCTTGCCTGGGTCTGCTATAATAGAAATAACTAATTGTTGCACAAAACATTCTCCAAAATTATAGTATCCTTTCAGTGCTAATATTTACAAATATATGTACATGGAATATAATTGCAGATATGGTTTCTGTAATCTGGGTTCATGTAAAGTGGATACTTTTTTTTTTTTTTTAAAGAAAAAAAAAACACCTTTTGTTTATGGGGGGGGGGGGTTGTGTTATCTCCATTTAGATTTAACAAAATGACAGGACATTCAGGGCAAGGAAAAAAAAAGAACACATCCAGTTTGTATGAAACTACATAGTTTGTTCATGGTCAATACAACACAAGGATATAAGATAATGTTCATAGAAAATAAAATGATATCTAACCACCTTAAAAAAAGAATTCCACAAAAGTTGGGGGGGGGGGGGGGGGTTTTTTTTTTTTTTTTAAAGAAAAAAAAAACACCTTTTGTTGAATCCTGATCATTAAATTTGGTCCATTCGATCTTGGCCTGTTGTCTTTACTTTCATTTAACCCATTTTCAATTTTATTCAATGTATCTTGTGCCTAGTTTGCAATGGAAAACTAATTTACTAGAAAGTCATGCTATTTGTTATCCAGTGCAATTCCAAATTATGTTATCTATTGTAATAATGCAAGCCACCAACTTTTAAAGTTAATAGAATAATGTGGTATGGAGCCATTTATATATAATGTTCACATGGAAGGGGTGTGTGCTGCGCCAACAAAATTTGTATGGTACTTAACATTTATGCACATATCTGTCTTATAATATAAATAAAACTGTCCCAAAAAGTCTACTGAAATAACCTGGTATTGCTCCCAAGGGTTTCAATCATCAGTTTTGTGATTTCTGGGGGAAACAAAAATGTAATAGCCCAACTTCATCCAACATATTCAACTTCCATAATGTTCAGGCCTGATTTTTGAACTGAGAAAGATATTTCCTTACTTAAAATATCAAATGACTAATAAATAGGTTGATAAATTGCATCTCAGATTGCAAGTGAAACCAATCTTGCCTCCACCAAGTACACTGAGATAAATGCATATTTGGCTCATGCTCTCAATCTAATATTTTATTTTTAGTACCAAATTAATCGGAATACTCTGCACAATGGTTCACTTAGACCAGCGGTCTGTGGGTTGCAACCCCTTTAGGAGTTGAGCGACCCTTACACAGGGGTGCCCTAAGACCATCAACAAACACACATTTATGAAGTAGCATTTTATGGTTGTGGGGCACATCATGAGGTACTGTATTTAAGGATCGCCGCATTATTAGGAAGTTTGAGAATCACTGACTTTGACAAAGTAAAATTGTTTTAAATATTTAATTTTATGGAATAACAATGTGTGAAATCTTTTGATTTGATATCTCAGTTAGGCCACCTTGATGTTAGCATAATAACCCCCACCCCCAAAAAGGGATCCATCATCTTACAGACCCTTGTCTAAAAAGGTTGGTAGGCCGCAAGTTTCACCATTGAATTAATTAACTTGCTGGACAAAATTAAAACCATCAACCTGACAGTAGACCTGCATGATGCACACAGACCACCTCCATTGTGACAATACAACTCTAGAGAGAGAGAGAGAGGGGGGGGGGGGGGTGTTATCTCCATTTAGATTTAACAAAATGACAGGACATTCAGGGCAAGTAAAAAAAAAGAACACATCCAGTTTGTATGAAACTACATAGTTTGTTCATGGTCAATACAACACAAGGATATAAGATAATGTTCATAGAAAATAAAATGATATCTAACCACCTTAAAAAAAGAATTCCACAAAAGTTGGGGNATTTTTTTTTTTTGTGTGGAGAAAGAGGAGAATTCTTTCTTTATGCATACTCACAATAGTCTACACAGTTAAAGAAAAATGTTTAATCTACTCATTACGAACAACCCAGGCAAGTGCCTTTCATAAACAAAATTTGCTTCTTTAAAAGCCTAACCACCAAACTATGTCCATGTCCTTTAAAACAAGGATTTCATCTAGTACTACTAACTTCTAACTTTCTTAAGAGGAGTCACACACACACACACACAAATAAAAAGCATTCAATACATTTTGTATTACGGTTCTGTTGTAAACTGACATTATAAAACATAAAAGTGACTTCATTGAACACAGTAAAAGTTCAGATGCAATACATGTGAGACATTCTCTTGCAGTGAATAATCTTAATATGAAGATTTATTTTTAAATAGTTCAACCTGTGCAGTGATTTAACAATTGCACAGTCAACTTTAATGACTAAACCAATAAACATGGTTAAAAAAAACATTTTGATTCCACAGAGAACAATGAATGAATTGAAGGTAGACAGATTCCAGTACTGACAAATACATGGTTTATGCATATTTAGAAACATGAAGGAAAATGCAGATCATAGATTTCCTTTCAACAATTAGTAACCAACAGAATTGAAATAAATGTCCTGATCTAAACAAGCATTTTGCCCTTACAATTCTGCATCTTCTTGGCAGGCATGTCAAACACAGGTACCAGTATTAGAGACATTAGATTTTGAAGTTGAAAAGGTTTGATATTTTCTAAAATTTGTATTATTGAGACTTGTGATGATAACTTACAAGTAAAACTAAAGCTATAAATTGGAGAGCAATTTATTATTGAAACATATAATTTTTTTTATCTCATGAAATTTAAGCAAATGTTACAAGTATTGATTTATTTGATGGCAAAAAGTACGCCAGACTAGTATGACATGCCTGATATTATCTGTTGCTCAAGATTTAAAAAATGTAAAAAAATACAATTTATATCAGACCTGATTTGTCTAGTATAAAATAACACAACTACATTATATAGCCAATCCCTTAAACATAATTCCATTTGAAAGTGCTAACAACTAAAACAATTACTACTGAACATGTCTGAGCTTAAAAACAACACGCACAAAATGGAGAAAAACTATCACTATTTTGGCAGCATCATAACTAACATCTGTGAAATGACTTATTTCTTTGAGATAAATGCTGAGATGAATGATTTATTAATTACAAAAAATTAAAAATTGGATAAAAATTTATATCATCAGAATAAAGAAAGAGCTGCCAATCAGTAACCAACTATCTGCAAACGTAAAGCACCACATATCAAATGTCATTGCACAAAAATGATGTACATAGAAAATGTAAGACAATTTCCCAAAGACCAGGATTTTTTTCCCCAAAGAATTCATCAAAACTCTATAATCTAAAATTATCTATCAATTCAGGATATGTACATCATAGGGCGTTTGAATTTTTTTTTCTTAAGTTCTCTGGTTTGAAAATAAAAAATGATTGAATGAGCAGGTTTTTGGTAAACTCCCTTGATATATTAGATCTCACAATAAAATACAACACCTAGAGAAGAGAACATGACAATTGAGAACAGAATGAAGGACGTTATCAATCCTAAACAATAATTGCCTTGAATTTTTAGGAAATATTCATGGATGCTACAAAACAATACATTGGATTTAATTGCTGGTAACTTAAAATTTTTCTTTGGCATTGTTAAATTTCTTATTTGAATTAACTAATGCCAGAGATCTAATAGAAATATAAGTGATGCACATACATTCACGTCACACTTCATTGTCTTCAAACGTCTTGCTTCTTACATGCTAATTATAATCTACCCTAAAATGCTCAAGCATCTTCCCCATCATCCTCTTCACCATCATCATCCTCTTCATCACCTTCTTCTTCCTCATCTTCATCATCTTCAGCTTCGCCATTGTCACCAGCAAACCTCTTAATGTCATCTTCATCATCCTCATCGCCATAAAGCTCATCAAACCTTTCAATACAGGCAAAATTTTGCAGATGCTCATCCGTTAATTCTGCATTTCCCGGACGAATCACAAGTGCACTGCGCAACCCTGCAGACACTGCTGCTTCGGCCTCTGTTAATAAGAAAAGCATAAAAATTAATAACCACGGTAGCATCAAGTTAGACCCCCACCAGAGGTGAAGAAATAAGGTGGATAAATAAAGAAATGCCTTTTTATTTTTAAAATAAAAGAAGGCACTGCTAATTTGGATTTTAGTAAACCTCTATGAAATATTGAAAGGTGTTATCTTTTAAGTGAATGATGTAATGTCCAAAGTTATTAAGACTTTCACTTCCTGATAAAAAGCAAAAAGAAACCAAGTATGGCACATTAAGATATAAGTGATAGAGAAACCATGCATGGCACATTAAGATATAAGTGATAGATTTTTCTTTTTGAAAGCAACACGGAGAATTCCAGATACAGGCGCATCTGACAGTAATAATTTAATTATAAATTCTTCTATTTTCTGCCTCTAATTTCCTTTTTATAAAATGATTACTTCCTAAGCTAGCCAAACTAAATGCTATTACTGCTAACAGCTAAACATTACTTGGAACACTTTAACATCTCATCTAAAAAATAACACTTCTTGAAATCGCATATTCTTATTTAAAAGTAGTGATTGATCATACATTTTTAAATGACATTCTTAATAAACCAATTTTTACATGATAAATTCTTCAGAGATTTTTTTTCTAAAAAGAAAGCGAAAGTACCTTGAGGAATATCAGTGAGGAATAAGATATCTTTAGGTTCATTTCCAATTTCTGTGGCAATCTTCTTGTAACTTGCACTTTCGTTTTTACTTCCTGTTGTTGTATCAAAGTAACCAGCAAACACCTGTTAAATAGTCATAATTTTAGATTTAAAATTGCTTCTCTACAAAAAATCAATGAATACAGATTTCAAAATTATAGACGTTCAAGTCCCACCACAGAAATATTCTTAATAATAATGGACATTGGAGGGGGGAAAGGTTTATTTTACAGACATCTTTACCTCCTAAAATCGTATATCGTAAAATTCAGTATCTTATTAGTAAATAAATATATAATAATTACTGGCATCATGTGTCTAGTGGGATTGAGTTAAACTGACCTCAAAAAAGGTAACCTCCAAAAGTACATGATTGACGTTTATATTGCAATATGTCACTGACATAAATTAATATTGAGGTGAACAGGCAGACACATTATCACTGTCTGCCACTAGTAAAAATAAAGTTACTGGTAAAAATTCATTAAATAAGGGCGTCATAAAAAAAAACTACCAAGTAACTTGAGATTTAATTTTTATAAAAAGTTACAGGTATAAATGAAAAAATAATCAATATGCATTATGCCTATTTCCTGTTAACATATTACAGTCTGATAACTACCACAAGCTGTAAATTGGTGAAAGGAAGAGGGGTTTTAAAAATCATACAACTGTTTTGTGTTCTAAAAATTGATTTCAAAAGCCCTCTTAAAAATATTTCAAGCTCTAATTACATCATACAGTGTTTATTTTAGATTTAAATATTTATAGATGGTCCTCAACCAATTTTATTTCTCAATCCATTCACTGCTGGACGTAGAATGCAACTAACAACCGAAAATGTACTATTTAATAATTAAAAAAACCACAGGAACATATTTTCAACTGTCTCTTAAAATTGTATTTCTTGACAGGTCTTGGCATACAATCGTCAAAGACATCTCAAAATGTACACCAAAATCGTAAGAGTAAACAGGTCTGATTTAACCATGTCAAGTGCTAGGAATTAAAAAGCTTCATAATTTTAGTATCTCGGGAAGTTGTTTTGAAATATTGATGTTTAACAAAAAATTATATAAAGGTAGGCTCTGCAGACTATAACTTACATCTGAAAGATCTCCTTGACTGGAATATGTAAACAAAAGCTTTTGTGATTCAATGCTGCCGGAAGAGTAAACGTACAGCTGAAATCCTTCTTCTGCCAGCATCTTCAGCATTGGCCCAACATCCTCAAAGAGCCTGAAAGGAGTTTTGCAAAATATTTAAAATCTCATCATTCAAATAAATATTTGAAGTCCACTAAAACAATAATTTTTGGTATTTTAACAGGCTAAAGAAATGCAACATAAAAAAAAGAATAATGTTATGATGGAGCATCAACTATTGTGGAAACTGAGACAGGAAGGAACAGGCATTGGCTTGGTCATGTCTAAAGAATCCCACCAAAACTCACTTCCTAGGACATAACTTAGATGGACAGCGAGAGAAAAAAACAACAACCCAGAAGACGCAAAGAGACAGGTACATAACATTTTAGAGATGAATCTCCAGAACAGAAACCTTACCCTGCAGACAGAACCAAAATATATACTCACTCTCCCTTTATTTCTGTTGATTCATATGCATCGTTCCAAATCATTCCTTGCAATGCTTTAAGTTCAGTGGTTTTTCTGTCACCGTCCATTTGCCATCGGACATTGTCACACACTGCTTTAACAACATCTTCTTTGCTGGCGTCCCCACTTGGAATTTCAACAACACCTTCCACTTTTTCTTCTTTTTCCTTTGCAGCCTTTAGATAAATTAAGCCTCAAAGTTGAATATTTCTACATGGTAATTTTTGTTAACACATTTTTATTTACACCAACATACAGCTTTCCAAACATATTGAAAGGGGGAGTGAGTTGATGTGTAAAATTGTATGCATCTGTTTTGTTAAGGGTAATGAATAGGTATTTGTTTTGAATATAATGGCTGATTATGTCATTTTTTGTGATTATATTTCTATGAAATACAATTGTTAGTAAAAGATTTTATAGGCAAAAACAATTCTGAAATATTTAAGGCCAAAATGAAAATTTAGCTCCCAAAGACATAGGCTAACTTTATTTTTACCCTTAATTTTTTTTACTTTCAATTCTTATTATTCACAGTCAAGAAGAATCAAATTATATTCTTTATAATTAATATATATATTTATTAATATATATATTGTAAAATTTATGCATATGGTTAAAAAAAAGAAGTTAGTATTGTTGAGGATAATTGCCATTTTGAAAACAGATTGATTTATAACAATTGCTCACTTAAATATTACCAAAAGTATGTTTTTACAAAAGATATTCAAGTGCATTAAAGATATTAATTTAATTGTCTGAGTGATTATTTTGCTCTCCTGCAAGTATGAATGACCAAAAGAGCATTGAAGTGAAGCTCAGATTACAAATAGGGACGTTTGGTGACATTACTCTAAAGCAAGGGTTCTTAACTTGTTAACCACGGAAACTTTGGGGTCCATAAGCTGCTTTCCCTTTGCAACTTATTATATTGATTTAATTTACAAACTTAATTCTGAGAAGGGGTACAAGGCCTTCATCTGACTGGCAGATGGGTCCATGGAACAAAAAAAATAATAAACTCCAGACTTAATTATACTAGAACTCCCAAAATAGTAGAATACTATTTCATAATATTAAATAAATTAACATACAATTTAATGAATACAAACTACTCGCATGGCATGTTAAAAAAGGACACCTCCCAATGATGAAATATGTATATAAAATAAAAATGTGCCTATTATAGCCACTTTGATAGACAAAGATGGGGCAAGGGGATAGAAATTGAGGATGGCTCAAAAGTTACCAGAAAGGGGAGGGGGTTGGAAATTTATATATAAATTCAAAATGTAGGTATGCACTTTTGCATATACATGAATATAGCTTTACATCATTATGCACCTAATCCGAGAATTTTATTTCAGATTTGAAATTATTTTATCTATTTTTTTAAATCATTACAGTAAATGAACACAGAAAAGGCGCGTACCGTCAAAAAGAGTGATGTATGCATAATATATTTTAAATTCGCATTTATGACAAGAATGAAAATAATCACTAATTGAATTAAGAAATAAGCCTATTTGTGATACATTCTATATATAAAGTGGCTGGCCATCTCTGCATTACGCCTAAGATGCCCGATTTTAATTTCTGTTAACATATTATAATCTAATAACTACCTCAAACTGTAGAGTGCGGGAACAAAACTGGGTAATTAATAATTGTAAGCTACTTAGTGTCTTCTAAAAATAGATTTAATATGCCGCTTAAGAGATCTAATAAATTATGTCAAAATTTACAGCTACTGTGCGGAGCATTAATAAAAGAAAAATATGTAGTTTTCTCCATTTTCACAATTGCTGCAGTTCTGGCAAAGAATAAAATAATTATGTTACTAAATTATGTAATACAGCCTATAACAAAAAAAAAGCGAATATTTACTCAATTTTTCACTATGGTGATTACCCTAAATATTACTGTTACCATGCGTAGCACGTGCTTTGTGAAAACATGACAATCATCACTAACATTATGAAACAAGGCTGGAGCGGAGACTTTTTGCCTGAAGCTGGAAACATTTCTTACCGCTATGAGCGCCAAAATTTATAAAAACTGATTCTTAAAATGTATAAAATTTAATTTTAACTTTTAAAAATTAATTTTTTAAAACCGATTCCCTATTTTTCTACCCCACTTTTCATACTTTCTATTGCCTAACTCAAGTTAATACCATTGGTTAGTGAAATAATAAACATTTCATTAAGCCCTTTGACCACCCCCTTCTCTGAAGTCTGCTCCAAAACCCTGTTGTATAGCCTTTACAAATATTTAGACACCTCCCCTACTCCTCTCATGCACCTACATACATTTTATAAGTCACCTCCCTACCTCCCCTCTCATTTTGTATGGAATATAATTATGGACGGTCCCCAACCAATCATATTTCTCTGTCCATTCATTCCCAGAGGGTGAAAAGTGTTAAAACTAAAACCAATTTTTTCAAACCTGTCTCTTAAAAAATCATAGATTTGAAACGTCTCTGCGTACAATGGTAAAAGACACCTCAATATTGTACATTGCTTGCCAAAATCTTATGAGTAACCAGGTCTGAAACTCTACTTTTAAGTAATAACATAATTTGTGCAAAAAAAGCAGGCTCCATCTACAATGAGACATACACATGCTTTTCTCATTACCATATTTTAATGACACGTCATGATACTTTAATGCACAAATATCCCAAATATATATAATAAAAATGTGTTATTACCTGATCCCTCAATGCAGCAATAGCTTTCTGTAAATCTGCATTTTCAAAGTTCTTGTTGAGGTAATCCTCAATGTTGTTCCTTACATAAGGATAGAGTGTATCCTGAGGAAATGTTTTAACAAATGTAAGCAACGTGTTAATTTAAAAAATATATTTTAATAACTTAAATATTTTAATACTAGCAATACTGTCGCTGTAAATTTTCAGTTAACTGCATGGGTTTAGCCAAGAGTTGTCTCAACATAAGCACAAAGACATCACTTTGGGGAATCTCAACACTGGTCTTAGGGTGACTAGACCAACGATGAGAATGATAACATTCCTGTTCTTCACTGAGCATTATTCGCATCAAAAACATAATCTCTTGATCCATACAGTTAAAATAAATGAAAATTAATTTTTTCTTCGGTTTTTATAAAAATCCCACTTACAAGATTCAATAGAAATAATAAGAGAAACTCATCCTTGCTGATACCTCAAATGCATGGTTAGAAGTGCTATTTTTTTTCTTTGTTGAAACCAAAGTACCTGTATGCTATTCATTCCCATAATGTCGCAATTTAATGGGACATTTCCACATAATCTCTGAGGGGTGTGACACCACCCCCAATTTCAATTTAAAAAAAAAAAACAATTCTTAACTTAACTATAACAGTATTATCAGTACATTGAGAAAATAATAGTAATAGATAGCACTGCCTAATTACAGCCAGTAACTATAATTAATAATGATTCATTATTTTTTAATTACTAATATAAATTGACCAATATATTATATTTGAATGTATTGCCAACAATATACTAAATTACATGTATAATAAAACAGGCTTAGGTGTCATTTATATATATATTTTTTTGCAATTTATAAATAACTCAAATTAGGCCTTGTATGTGTATCTTAATTAGACTATATTAAATAGGGCCTAGATTAGGCTATACTATTATTAGTAAAAAAAAGTTGAGCTAGGTTTATTATTATTACTCATTTAATCAAAAAATTTGGTCAATATAATTTTCCACTAGGCCTATGCCTAAGATGGAATTATTATTATTATTTTCACAATTTTTCAGTATTCCGATCATTTCCACTTAAAACTAGTAACTAAACATTAAAAAAACTAACAAAACTACAATGCTGCCACCCCTTCTCTGATTCAAGAAATGAAAAGTCCCCAAGCCAGAAAATACCAGTTTGGAAGGCATTTTTGTCACGTGACCAAAATCAAAGCATAGGCGGCTTCCTTCAAATAAGCCGGTGTCAAATAAATTATACCAATAAAAGGAAAAGAAGCCAATACGATTGTCGTTGTATATTAATTCAAATATTGACATAACTAGATTATTCTGATTATTATTTGTTTTGTGACTGTTTCAATTAATTTACGAACGGGAACAGAAGAACTTACTACAACCTAGCGGACGACACTATTATAGTATCTATACTATACTAAAATCTATCTATATCTAGTCATAACAACATTATTTACATTTATCATTGTCAGACATTTACACAAACACACGAGTTAAATCTGTTGTAATTCTATCAGACCCAAAAATATCATCTTTTTTAAATAATTATATTTAACATATTTTACAAATTAAATATGCTCGGCATTTCTGATACAAACAAAACTCGTAAATACCCGGTTGATAAACAAAAAGGAAAACGCGCGTCCCCGAACTTTCCGGGTTGACGATGAATGAATGGCCCTGATAATTATTACTCCCGACTATAGTTAAAAGCTACAACGTAGTTTTAATTGCGTATATTTATTCATTTTGAATTTTCATTGATTTCGAACACCCGAAATAAGATCAAGACGGAAACCCCGGAGGTTGGATCAAGCGACGATTATTTGATCATGGTGGGAAGTAGCCGCAAAAAACTACTAGAATCAAATGCCAATAATAAAGAAATATTTAAGGCATGGACTTACCTTCACAAACGAAATAGGCGTTGTTGTCCCTTCAATGTCAAAGACAATGCATCTTACACCCACCAAGAGGGATTCCGCTTCTTCAGCAGACCTTTTCTGTGGTGCCATCATTTGGATTAATTACAAAATTTTAGATTTCTTTCTCAAAGCAGGAACAAAGACGCCGGCCTGTATCCGAAGCACTGACAGGTGCGCACTCCATTGATTGGGCACGAGAGGGCGCTAGTGAAGTTGTAAGTGGCGTATGCTCTTCTATTAATTATATTCCTCCCCCAACTTTTCTAAATAAATGAAGCTAAAGTTTAACATATTTCTAGATAATGATAAAGTAATAATATTTTTTTAAATTCAATTTTATCTAGAAAGTCCAATCAATCATTTGGTATAAAACAAACGCACAATGTTGTAATAATGTTTGCAATGAATAAACACTTAACTGCAGATAAATATGCTCGTGGTGACGTCAGAGTTCTCGTGCCTTCACAGAGAAAAATACATTTCAAAACCTATCAATAGGCCTACTAATAATGTAGGACTACTGTTAATTTTTGCGGAAAAAATAGTAATAGTCTTGTAATTTTGATACCTTTTACAGTTACGCAATTTATTTTTTGTTTAATTTTTATGTGTAGGACCTATGCCAATATCTTATAATTTAATTAATTAAATGGATGGGATATTTGGCAAAATAATTTGCACTATCCGATAAAATAAACTTCTTGACTTGTGTTCTTATTCTTATGTTTATAAAAACAATCTCAATGCTATGCATTTCCCTTTGTAGGTTTTTTTTTTTTTTTTGGGGGGGGGTATAGAAGACAGTGAAAAACCTGGTGGGATATAAAAGACAGTGAAAGACCTGGTGGGTTATAGAAGAAAGTGAAAGACCTGGTGGGATATTTTTTTTTTTTTTTTTTTTTTTTTTTTTTTTTTTTTTTTTTTTTTTTTGTGGGGGGTGTGGGTTGGGGTTTGTGAGTTGTTTTTTTTTTAGTTATCTTTTTTAATCGTTTGGTCATTAGCGTCGTCTCTCTAGCTCATGTTATGATTTAGAGTTATCATACATTTAAATTCGCTTTACTTTATAATATATATATTATGTAAACAATTTTTAGGCATTTTCGTTTAAATTCCATTGGCAATAACTGTTAAACTTTCAAGGACCCTTTAGAGAAATTAGGTCAAACATTGTTTACCACCCCCACCCCCACCCCCTACTTCTTTGGGAAGTCCAGCAAGGATAACCATACTAAATTGCATTACGTTAATTAATGGCACTAAGAATTAAATCAACATTTCATTTAACTTTCAACTCCTCATACAAACAGAAAAGTGCACGTGTATCGTAATACAGTGTTAAGTCGATTGACGACTTTTCAGCATTTGGCTCTTCTGTGGTCAGTATGCGCCCCAGACGACTGCCCTTTTTCGCCGACCATGGTTGAACCAAAACTGCTATGTAAATACATGCTGTCACTGTGTAAGTTGTAGCTATACTTTTAAGTATATACATGCTGTCACTGTATAAGTTGTAGCTATACTGCTATGTATGTATATGATGTCAGAGTATACGTTGTAGCTATACTGCTATGTATATACATGATGTCACTGTATAAGTTGTTGCTATACTGCTATGTATATACATGCTGACACTGTATAAGTTGTAGCTATACTGCTATGTATATATATGCTGTCACTGTATAAGTTGTAGCTATACTGCTATGTATATATCTGCTGTCACTGTATAAGTTGTAGCTATACTGCTATGTATATACATGCTGTCAATGTATAAGTTGTAGCTATACTGCTATGTATATACATGCTGTCACTGTATAAGTTGTAGCTATACTGCTATGTATATAAATGCTGTCACTGTATAAGTTGTAGCTATACTGTTATGTATATACATGATGTCACTGTATAAGTTGTAGCTATACTGCTATGTATATACATGATGTCACTGTATAAGTTGTAGCTATACTGTTATGTATATACATGATGTCACTGTATAAGTTTTAGCTATACTGCTATGTATATACATGATGTCACTGTATAAGTTTTAGCTATACTGCTATGTATATACATGATGTCACTGTATACGTTTTAGCTATACTGTTATGTATATATATGATGTCACTGTATAAGTTTAGCTTGTTTTAAAAGCTCTCATTGTATTAGCTCAGTATTTCCCAAAGTGGTGAAAAAGGGGGGGGGGGCAATTTAAATGGCGTAAGGGTGGTGACTAAACCTTTGTATTTGCTCAGGTGGGGTGTGGGGCAAAAATGGTGGGGAGCCTCTAAATCAGTGGTAACATTACCGTTATTTGTAGGCCTAAAGTGGGGACCTTCTAAATCAGTGGTAACATTACCGTTATTTGTAGGCCTAAAGTGGGGAGCTTCTAAATCAGTGGTAACATTACCGTTATTTGTAGGCCTAAAGTGGGGAGCCTCTAAATCAGTGGTAACATTACCGTTATTTGTAGGCCTAAAGTGGGGAGCCTCTAAATCAGTGGTAACATTACCGTTATTTGTAGGCCTAAAGTGGGGAGCCTCTAAATCAGTGGTAACATTACCGTTATTTGTAGGCCTAAAGTGGGGAGCCTCTAAATCAGTGGTAACATTACCGTTATTTGTAGGCCTAAAGTGGGGAGCCTCTAAATCAGTGGTAACATTACCGTTATTTGTAGGCCTAAAGTGGGGAGCCTCTAAATCAGTGGTAACATTACCGTTATTTGTAGGCCTAAAGTGGGGAGCCTCTAAATCAGTGGTAACATTACCGTTATTTGTAGGCCTAAAGTGGGGAGCCTCTAAATCAGTGGTAACATTACCGTTATTTGTAGGCCTAAAGTGGGGAGCCTCTAAATCAGTGGTAACATTACCGTTATTTGTAGGCCTAAAGTGGGGAGCCTCTAAATCAGTGGTAACATTACCGTTATTTGTAGGCCTAAAGTGGGGAGCCTCTAAATCAGTGGTAACATTACCGTTATTTGTAGGCCTAAAGTGGGGAGCCTCTAAATCAGTGGTAACATTACCGTTATTTGTAGGCCTAAAGTGGGGAGCCTCTAAATCAGTGGTAACATTACCGTTATTTGTAGGCCTAAAGTGGGGAGCCTCTAAATCAGTGGTAACATTACCGTTATTTGTAGGCCTAAAGTGGGGAGCTTCTAAATCAGTGGTAATATTACCGTTATTTGTAGGCCTAAAGTGGGGAGCCTCTAAATCAGTGGTAACATTACCGTTATTTGTAGGCCTAAAGTGTGGAGCTTCTAAATCAGTGGTAATATTACCGTTATTTGTAGGCCTAAAGTGGGGAGCCTCTAAATCAGTGGTAACATTACCGTTATTTGTAGGCCTAAAGTGGGGAGCCTCTAAATCAGTGGTAACATTACCGTTATTTGTAGGCCTAAAGTGGGGAGCTTCTAAATCAGTGGTAACATTACCGTTATTTGTAGGCCTAAAGTGGGGAGCCTCTAAATCAGTGGTAACATTACCGTTATTTGTAGGCCTAAAGTGGAGAGCTTCTAAATCAGTGGTAACATTATCGTTATTTGTAGGCCTAAAGTGGGAAGCTTCTAAATCAGTGGTAACATTACCGTTATTTGTAGGCCTAAAGTGGGGAGCCTCTAAATCAGTGGTAATATTACCGTTATTTGTAGGCCTAAAGTGGGGAGCCTCTAAATTAGTGGTAACATTACCGTTATTTGTAGGCCTAAAGTGGGGAGCCTCTAAATCAGTGGTAACATTACCGTTATTTGTAGGCCTAAAGTGGGGAGCTTCTAAATCAGTGGTAATATTACCGTTATTTGAGGGCCTAAAGTGGGGAGCCTCTAAATCAGTGGTAACATTACCGTTATTTGTAGGCCTAAAGTGGGGAGCCTCTAAATCACTGGTAACATTACCGTTATCTGTAGGCCTAAAGTGGGGAGCCTCTAAATCAGTGGTAACATTACCGTTGTTTGTAGGCCTAAAGTGGGGAGCCTCTAAATCAGTGGTAATATTACCGTTATTTGTAGGCCTAAAGTGGGGAGCTTCTAAATCAGTGGTAACATTACCGTTATTTGTAGGCCTTAAGTGGGGAGCCTCTAAATCAGTGGTAACATTACCGTTATTTGTAGGCCTAAAGTGGGAAGCTTCTAAATCAGTGGTAACTTTACCGTTATTTGTAGGCCTAAAGTGGGGAGCTTCTAAATCAGTGGTAACATTACCGTTATTTGTAGGCCTAAAGTTCGTCATTGCATGTTCTCTCACAAGGGAATATTAAATCGAAAGTAACTATCATTTTATCATTAACGATGCTCTCCCTCCTCTTTCCGGGACCTTTCGCCCTCTCCTATCTGTCCCGCATGGAATGGCCTTTAAACAATATATGCGCTTGCTTAGGACACCAGGAGAAATGGGCCACCACAAAAATACCCATAGGAAAAATAAACTTTTTAAACAAATAAAAGTATCCATAAATAGCAAAATATTTTGTAATCCATTTGAAGACCCTAGTGCTAAAAGTACTTAAGTCACATTTTTTTGAAAATCAAACGAAACGTTGACCTTTACTTATCCGGTTTAGCCCCATATATAGCATAAATTTGGAGACGTTAAAATGTACCTAAGTCCCCTTTTTATACAAACCAAAAATAAGAATGATCAAATTTAATGGACAAAAAGTACTGAAGTCCTATGTTTCGGTGCTAAAAGTTCTTATCTCCCCTTGGCCAATCACTTAGCTGCATTTAGTTGTCTCAAACCTCGAAAAAAATGGCGGACGAGGCGAGCTCTGACCAACCTGAATATGAATCCAAAGCGAAAAAGAGAAGACTAACACCATCAAAATGGAAAAGAAATGTAATTAAGCTGGCTAAAGTCAGAGGTAAGAATATATTTATATTATTACAATCAATTTACTGTTGTGGGGATATTAAAATTACACTATCGCAAACTGGGTCAAGATGCCCCGATCGATAACTATTAACTCTTACTATTATTAGACTTAGACCTTAGTCTTACCCAGGCCCAGGTATTTTTAGCTGATACTGAAACATTGTCAGCATTTTTAAATATAATAGAACAATATAACTCCCACACCTCTATTTCATATTTTTATATTAATATTCTAGTCTATAGAATTTAGTACTTAAGATTACACTAGTACTACTACTAGTAGTAGTAGTAGTAGTAGTAGCAGCAGTGGCACTGCATGGCATTACATGACTGTTCACTCATTACTGTCCTGCTTTTAGTAGTTTTAGGCCTCCTAATGCCTAATACTAATACTAATAACCAAACGTTTATATTTCATTTAGTTATTCTTAAATAGAGATATAGTAACTTAAAGTTAAAGTAGTATACTACTGCTTTTATTATATAAAGTGTCTAAAAAATAAAACGGATTACTATACTATAAACTAGGCTAGATCTATATTGACAGTTGAAGGGCAGTGTTCTATTGTTATTAGTATGAGACAAGATAAATAACATCGACCATGCCATGGAATTAAATTTTAAAACATATTATTTCAGGAGAAGCTCACACATCCTATGATAACAAGGTCAAGCCATCAAGGGAGCCTGCAAGAGTAGAATGTCCTTGTAAATGTCTGACAAAATTCACAGATTTTGAGATGGAAAGAATTTTATCAGAATTTAATGGTCTTATACAGATCATGAGGCTCAAATATATATCTTCAGGGTTGCATAAGTGTAAACGATGACACTAGTATTCGTCGAAGGCCCAGAAAAGAAAATGGCAAAGAACGAAGCAGCTTTTCATATTCAGTCACTGCACTGAACATCCACTAACAGACAACATGATGGAAGATGGAACCCCTGTTGTTAAAGTCCTTGACTATAAAAGAGCATATGACCCCTTGCTAAAACCAGTGACTTATTAGTGAGTTTAGAGGGGCGAAGATTGAAAGAGGCCAGGTACCACTAAGCCGAAATTCTATGACTGCAGAATGCTCAGACGTCATATATACTTTTAAAAGTGGGAAAAAACTTTCAACACTCCTTTCAACGAAACCTGATTGTGCTTACATCAATTTTTTGCCTGTCAAGACAGCAAAATATAATGACATATGTGAACTGTTAATTGTTAACGCATGTCAATATTCCAGATGATGTTACCTTTTATAGTACTAATAAAGGTAAAGATACAGAGGAAGACAAGAGTGACACTGATGTCATTGAGTAGACTCATTTGCCATCTTAAGTTGTGCTGAGAGTAGCATTATTTTCCAACTAAAGTGTGTTTTTGTGTGTTAATAATATAATAAAATGTATTTAAAAACATGATTTTGTTGAAAAAGTGTCATTGAGTAGACTCATTTGCCATCTTAAGTTGTGCTGAGAGTAGCATTATTTTCCAACTAAAGTGTGTTTTTGTGTGTTAATAATATAATAAAATGTATTTAAAAACATGATTTTGTTGAAAAAGTGCTTAAGTCCAGTGTTTGGTTTCAGTGCAAGAAGTACCTAAGTCACGGAATAGGACAAAAAGTACTCAAGTCAAAAAACTAAATTATCTATATCTTTAAAAAAATGAGGGTTTAAAGCTTAAAAATGTGCAGGTCTATTCACTACAACACTACAAATATGTAGCAGTAATCAGAAATATAATGGAATGTCTTGCCTGATTTAAAGGTCGTTTTGAATATTTGAACTTGATTATCTCAAAATGGTTATTTTGTGACTTAAGTACTTTTAGCACTAAGGTCTTCATTTATTCTCCATAATTGGAGAGATATTCGACACTCAATAATATGCCACACAATTTCTCCTTTCATCTGAAAGGGAAATGTATTACCAGACCAGAACAGAGGCGTCATTAGGGTTAGTGTAAACCGTGACGGTAAACTTATGGTATCGCCCCTCTCTGGACACCCCACCCCACACGGACTTTCGCCGGATCATACATAATCGCTTCTAATGTATACCAATTAAGTCCAAGGGCAGGGGTCCTCAAAATATGATCCGCCAGGGGTCGTTCGGTTACCCTGGTAGCATTGTCAAATATAGAACTGGTAATTAACCATTTCTTTAGCCAGAAGCAAGCACATACATCCCATTGAAATACTAATAACTTTATTTTAATCAAAGTTTTTCTTCATTTTAAACATTGATTTGTGTTTTCCTGTTGTTTTTTTAAAACTACAAATAAGATAAATGAAATGTGCATAGGAATTTTTTTTGTTGAAACTATAGTCCACACCCCAACAGTGTCTACGGGACAGTCAACGTTTGAGGACCTCTGTACTAAAGCAGCAATGCCCAAGAAGAAAACATAATTTATTCTAAGGTAACGGTGTTTTAAAAAGTGTAACAAAATTACTTTTAATTGAGCCATTAAAATTTACATTTCTGATCTTCAAAAATGTCAACCAGTCAATCACTTCATTCAAATAAAAAAAAATTCACATAAACAATTTCAACTGATAAAATCGCAAGACTGGACTGTTCCATAGTAGGTAGCGAATAGTTCTTTAGCTTCCACGAGATTAACATCTGATGCCTTCATGTGCCCTCACTGCCTTGGTACTGCATTTTAAAGTTCACTTTCCGATAACTCAAAGAAAGGGATCAGTTTCAGAATGGACCCAAGTAACTCTTCTTCAGTCTCCAACAGTAGACTCTTAGCTTAACATCCTCAGAAATATCTGCTACTTCTTTGATGGCTCTTGGTCTGATCTTTTCAGAATGAAAAGTTTTCTCTTCTTGCAGAGCTCGCATCCATAGTGACGCAACTGTTCTGGGGTAGTGATAAGCTGATTAATGCTTATCCCGATGACATAAATAAAAAAAAACTCAATAAGAATATCATCTGCTTGTATACGATTAAGTGTGGAATGTTGCAAAACTCAAGTCAGGTACCCGCCAACATGCACCCATGTAGCTTGAAATTATGAAACAATCTTATGGGGCATGGGTGCATTGAACCCTTATGGATGGACAGTTAGGATGAGATAATTTCTTTTTAAGAGGAAAGTAGGCCTACACACAAACAATTTCAAAGAGTTTAGCCATATTAAACCCCCCAAAAAATTCTTGAAGAAATAAAAAAAGAAGCTATTTAATCCTTTATAAACAAAAGATTCTAATGATACTAAGTGGCGAACCTAGTTGAGTTTGGAGGGGGGTGACCGCCCCGGGCGGAACTTTTGTCGTTTATACATAACATTTTATAAATAATCTGTGTTGGGGCGGAATTTGTGAGTTCGCCCCGGGCAGCATTAAGTCAAAGTCAAGGAATTGAAGCTGAAAAATGAGAAAAACACTATTTTTCTCAATATCCCATTTATTCATTTACAAAATGTTTCTTGGAAACATAGTCCGTGGAAGCTTATTAAATTGAATAATAACAACTAAATTACACAGGACGTAGCGCGTAGTATCTTTTTCAGTACCCGTAATCGAATAGAGCGCACGTAGTTTTCACAACACCGAGTCGGTGATCATTTTATCTATCTGCTCCTTAGCCCACTCGGGACGTAGACGGTAGAGGGCGCATAACGTTGTCGTGGAGTTAATAATCACACTTTTTATAATGATATCTTAATAAATTAATTAACAATATTTATTATTTGGAACTTAATATGAAATAAATCTAAATTTTTAAAAATTTTAATAATTAGTTATTTCTTTCAAGGTAAATAAACAATTTTGATTTAAGTTTACGTGGCATTGATAATGCGTGGCAAAGAGAAATACATGAAGACTTTTTTAGCCAATCACAAAAAGAGTCAATATTCAGACAGGGGCTTCACCATGTAGACTGTACAGACTTATTTATAGCGATGTGAATCGATAAGTTCATCTACCCTCGTCCGGTGGCATCAACTTTATATCCACGTTGACGAGCGTACAGTTCATGTTTTTTCAACGCTGGTGAGTACATTTATATGTTAAACAAAAAACAACAACATTAAGACATATGCTTTCACTAAAAATAAGCCTTTTTGTCACTTATAATTGGCTTACTTATATTAAAATATTATATTGTATAATTTGTATAATGTACCGATGTCGCCTATGACTCAGTTTCAGACTAAGTACTAATATAATAATACTAAGTACTAAGTGTTCTACCAACTTTCTATTTCAATATATTATTATTGGTTTACTCTTGTGACTTACGTACTCAAACTTACTGACGTAGTCCTCAGTACACCTCTGATTTACATGAAATCAAAAGAGTAAAAAAATATATAAATAATTGAATACGGGTATTTTTATTATAATATTAATATTAAATTATTTATTATTTAGTCTTAGTACATCAAATTAATTAATAATTAGAATTAAATTTAACTTATACTAACTTATAATATACTTATATTTATAATTTATATAATTGAATTTTGTAATAGTTAAGTCTTAAATAAAGTGATTAATAAATCTTTTGTATACTAATACTGTCTACTGTATTGTAATTGTATAGTATATAATATAGTATAAGTAAATTCCATGTCAGCTCATCCAGTTCTCAGTTGTCAAACTTTAATTTTAATGACTTTGGTGTGCACAATTAACTTCCATATTCTTAGCCTCGTGTGAATGAATTCAAAACCTCACTTACTGATTGGTTCCTTACCGATCGTTGTTGCTTCCCTGATATGAAATCAACAATGCAAGTTTATAATATATGATTCCTCCAAACCTTCAGTGTTTTTATGAAAAGCATTAAAAAATGCTTGACACCGAAACATCTACAGATAATTTGCAAAGACTATTTTACACTCCAAATTGTTGTTAGCTCACAATGTCTATAAATGAATTGTTGTAAATGGACCCTGGTACTTCCATTTGAGATTTGGATTAAAGGTGTTTTCTGTCTCATTGTATGTTTATCTTAATCTGTTTGTCATCCACTCTAATCTGATGCAGGCAATCTACATAATGTCAGTTCCTCCTACTACTGTGACTGTCTATAATCTATTGTAATGCGGTAAATAACTTAAGGTCCGGTAGCATGCCTTTTTAAACATTCATATTTTTAAAAAAAAATAATTTCTTTTGTTTTGATTAAATGAACCATTTCATTCTTTTGTTTAGGAAAAAAAAAATATATTTGATTTTTGTTTTGCAAAATCTGATAATCATTAAAAAAACTAAAACCTGATTTTTAAAATCTTTATTAATGAATAGTTACATTACTTAATTCACTTTCATTTAAGAAAATCATTTTGGCCTCTGCTGATTAGCTCTAGTATGGAATGGAGAAATTAAAAAAAAAAAAAAAGAGTTTTTAACAAAACTATGGTTAATAATTATTTTATTTCTCTACTTGTTTTGTAAAAGCCATATAATCCAAAAACTTACCTAAGAATTTTCCTGTATCGTGGCAAATGACAGACTTGTATCTTCCATTGGGACTGTGGTTAATGGATTTTTTCTTTGCTATTTATTAGTTAACTAGTAATAGATTGCAACAAATATTTATTTGATATTTTAATCAGAAATGACATTTAAAAACTATGGAAACAGAATATTTTCCCTACAAACAATGTATTATACTTTTTCCATTTAAGGTGTGACATGCATTTTTTATACTTACTTATGCCTTTCTACCCCGTCTGGGGCATGAGCCGCCTACAAGAACTTTCCACTCATCACGGTCCTGTGCTTTCCTTTCCAATTGCTTCCAGGTGTATATGATATTTTGCATGTCAGCCTCTAGCTTGTGTCTCCATGTATTCTAAGGCCTTCCTCTCTTTCTTTTTCCCTGTGGGTTCCATGTTAGGCATTGTCTGGTGGTGCTATCTGGGGGTTTTCGGAGCGTATGCTCTATCCATCTCCACCTTTTCTTTATGATATCTTCATCAATGGGCACCTGGTATGTCTTTTCTAGTAGATCTTTGTTATTGATAGTATTTGGCCATTTGATTTTTAGGATCTTTTTAAGGCATGTTTTTATGAATGTCTGCACTTTCTGCATAAGGCTCACTGTTGTTTTGCAAGTTTCTGCACCATATAGTAGGACTGTTTTGACATTTGTATTAAAGTTTGCAGTTTCAGCTCCTTCGACTCCCATATTTTCTTTAATAGCACAAATGCTGATCTAGCTTTTCCGATTCTGGCTCTTGCGTCCGCATCAAGTATCCGCCATTTGTGTCTATGGTGCTCCCTAAGTATGTGAAGGACTCCACTTACTCCAGTACCTTTCCTGCCAGATAGATATGCTCATAGTTGGATGGGTTTACCTTCATGATTTTTGTCTTGCTTTTATTTATATTGAGACCAAGCTGTGCTGAAAAGGTGGCTACGTCTTTTGTCTTTTCCTGCATTTGTTGCTGGTTGTGGGACAGAAGTGCGATGTCGCCTGCAAAGTCTAAATCATTCAGTTGTTCACAGAGTGTCCACTGTATCCCATTCCTCTTTTTGTCTGTGGATTTCTTCATTATCCAGTCAATGGCAAGGATGAATAGAAATGGGGACAAGAGGCATCCTTGTCTGACTCCTGTTTCGACTGTAAAAGAATCTGTGAGTCTTCTTGGACCACCCTGCATGTCATTTCTTCATAAGAGCTCTGAATGAGCCTGACTAGTTTCCCTGGTACTTCATAGTGCCAAAGAAGTTTCCACAAGGTTTGTCGGTCCAGGCTATCCAAGGCCTTTCCGTTGTCTTTAAAATTTAAATATAGTGGGGACTTCCATTGGATGGACTGTTCTACAATGATTCTTAGTGTTGCAATTTGATCCGTTTAGGCGGAAGCCGGCCTGTTGATCTCGTAGCTGCATGTCGACCTGGTCTTTCATTCTGTTCAAAATAGTTCCGTTTAAGACCTTTCCTGGTACAGACAGCAGTGTGTTATTTATAACAACATTAAAAAAAAAAGACCAGAAATCCCACAAAATCTTCTGTGCGTCTACTCAATGATCATTCACTCACCAATATTTTTATTGCCAGTTACTGCATGTTCTATTCCTGTCATCCACTTACTGGACATATTTTTAAAAAAGTTTGCTAAATGATTTGATAGTTCCTTGATGTGTTTGTCTGTGCACTTAAGCATTTGCGAGATGTTTCGTTAGATATCTATATCATAATAACTTACATATCCATATAGCTAAATCAATTTAGCATTAGTTTAAACTGTTTTCTTTAACATTCCTTTTCAGGTAATTGTCAAGTCATTTCTCTCAATGGAATTGTGGTAGTTACTAAATTTCATTACTGTGGAATATTGAATTGGACTTTTCCTTCAGAGACATTTAATCATTAAGTTGATCAAGACTTACTATTCAAAAACCAATAAACTTTTATCCTAGTTCGGTTCACTTGAAATTCTTGAATTTTGTATAAAGAAAACTACAAGGATGGAAGTGGTTACAATTCTTATCGGAGTAGCTGCATTTATCATATCAGCCTTATTGATTTACTGTATCTCTGCTGTATCAATGAGAGAGAAAACTTTTGAAGAAGTGATGGAAGAACAGAGACGCAGACAAGAAGAAGAACGAGAAAAGGTGAAAGCAGAGAAAAAAGCAGAAAAGGAGCAGCAGAAAAAGAAATACAAGAAAGGAAAGCAGGATAAAGTGAAAGAAAAATCAGCACAAGTCAATGAACCAGAGTTAAAAATAGAAACAAAAATGGTTAACTTAGAAATCGAGCCAGAAATTATAGAACCCACTGAAACTTTAGGGCTCAATACTGCTGTTCGACAAAGAGGAAAAAAAGAAAAAGTAGCCAAGCCTATTCTCCATAACAAAGGGGAAGTGACTCCAGTCAGTGAGAAAACTGTAGAGATCCATCACAAACCTATTATTCCCAAAGATGAATTAGAGCTTAAAAAAAGCCATGAAAAAATTATTGTTGACAAAATCGAGAAGCTGAAATCGACTCATATTGAAGCACAAGTAAAGGAGACCATTCGCCAAGAGATCAAAGAAAACGTCCCACCAAAAAAACCTGAAAAAGATGAGGATCACAAATCTAAGCAAAATACAGATGAGGCAGAGAAGCGTTCTGCCAAGTCAAAAACATCAGGTTAACATTTATGAATTTATCTTGTTTTATATGTACGAAATTTGATAAGAAAATTTGTCGTAATTTTAAAAGTACTTTAACTTAAACAGTTATTTATCTTTTTTCCCATAATGTCTTGTACATTGATTTTTAGACAACTTCTACAATATAAAAATCTCTGTAGATGTCTTTTTACATATTTGATATCATAATATAATAAATACAATTTAAAGTGATCGTATTAATATCTTAAAGTCTTTTACAAATTGTAAATCTTTCAATCTGTAGATGATGGACAACTTAATGGATCAAAGTTGATTTCTTCTGTTAAAACTGCAAAACTATCTGACAATGAAGTTCAAACTTTGATTGACATACTTCTGAACAGACAAGGCCTTACACCAACTACTCCTGCAGTGAATGAATCTTGGAATAAGGACAAGGTTAATTTTTTCATTACTTTAGTCTGTTGCAAAGTATTTTGTAAAAACTATCATGATTTTAGGATTTAAAATATAAATGTTTACAGTGCTAAAAGACTCGATATTATTTTCTACAGAAAAGTCAGAAAGGTGACCCAGTATATCTGTTAAAGAAACAACTAGAAGATAAGGAAAAGGCTCTACAGGAAGGTTTGTTGTCACTTGTTTATATTGTTTCTTAAACGTTCTGTACCCATTCATTGTGTAAAATTGGCAACAAATTTAAAGTTATCTGTTATTTTTAAAAAATTAAGAAATATTTCTGCTGTAAACACTTGTATTTTATTTAATACTCATATATTTAAATGGCTGTGTATCTATCATTGTTTTCTATGTTTATAGTAAACAGTGGGTAATCAAGTTGATAGAAATAGCTGATTTTTATTTGTATCAAAATTTGTTGTTAGTATTTTTTTTAGTATTGCAGTAACATTCTTTTTCTTTTTCACTTTTTTAAAATCAAGATTTGGATTAATGATATTATGTGTAATAATTTCAGAGCAAAATCAATCTTTGAATGCTAATTCTCGTGTCAAAGAGTTGAAAAATGAATTGATGTCAGAGAAGTCAAAATTGGCAATATTGGAGAAGAAGTTACAGGAAAAGGGCAATCAACACAAAACTGAATTGGATGCTCTCCATCAGAGAATGCAACATTCACATGAGCAACACCTGTCTGAGACAAATAACCTTCAAGTGAAAATCAGACAGCTGGAAACAGGGGCTGATAAAGCTGCTGCTAATAAACTTGTTGAAGTAAGTTAAATAATCTGGGCAATAACTGATATAATTTATGAAATGGCTCTTCATACCAAGAAGGTTCCAGACTGCTGAGTTAGATCAAATATTCTTCATACTTGGATCTATAATTTTAAAAATTAAGCTCTAAGACATGCTTACGGTTAAAATAATTTTTTTACAGATTGAAATGTTAATGTATTAGTTTTTAATATAAATATCTTTTAAAACATTCTATTTCCAGGAAAACAAGATTCTGCAAGAAACTTTGTCCCTTAAAGCGTAAGTGTCAAAAAGCATTTTTGTTTTATTACTTTAAAACTTTTCTTCAATTATTTATAAATTCAAAACAATTACCTTTTTATGATTATCTTAGATGGCTTTATTATTTAATTAATTAATTTTCCTCAACTATATTTCATCTGTTTGTTGTGTCATTACAGTAAGGAAACTGTGAGCTTAGGAGAGAAGGTTAAGCAACTGGAGAAAGAACTTAACAATGGCAGAAATGCCTTCCAGGCCAGTGAAGCTGCAAAGAAAAGTTTAGAAACAAAGCTTAACATCAGTGAAGAAAAATTTCGCAAACTTGAAGCTTCTCAGGTAATTAAAAAAATATGTTGTTAAAAATAATAAATTCCGTTGATAGTTTAAAAAAAACAAACAAAAACTTGTCTTAATATTAGTGTAAACTTTCCCCTTTTAAGACTATATCATTTTGTTCATCAGAAAGATGTAGATTCTGTAATTAACAAAAGAGTTGAAGACGTTAGCTTGGAACTTAGAAAAGCAGAAGCAAAGAACACTTCTTTAGCATCTGATTTGCAAAAAGCCAATGCTGCTTTGAGCACTGCACAAGGAGAATGTAGCAACTTGAAGACCAAGCTACAGGAGCTTGAAAACCACCTGAAAAAAGCTGATGCTAGCAAAGAAACCGAAACAAGGTTGCAGGTAATTAAAATTGTAGTTTTACTGCATCTGAATTATCAATTTATATTGAAAAAAAACTTTTTTTTACATTAAGTGAACCATCTAATTCTTGTCTATTCTCAGTACTCCTGATGACCTCATTTTATTTCTTAAAATCGTTCAAATTTTGTGTGCTTTTGTTATAATAAAATTTCAATTTGATGTGATCTAAAGTGCGGTGAATTAAACTTCTTAAATGTATTTTAGGAGTCTGAACACAAACGCTCTGATTTGGAAGGGAATATTAAAAATCTCGAGAAGCAGCTTGATGACCTATCAAAAAGACTGGATGAAAGCAAAACTGAAGTAACTGTAAGTATTTAGGTAGACAATTTACTTAATAATTTTTCTACAAAGTTTTTGTGTCTTAATTCATATCTGATATAATTTCTTTTGGCTTTATCGATGTGAAAATTTTTATCTTACCTGTCTTAGCGATTGCAACAAGAAAATAAAGGATTGGTAGATGAGAATAGAACAATCAATGAACGTCTTCAAACAGCTCCAGCCTCTAATGGAATTCATGAAAATGGACCAAATGTTTCCTCATCTGAACTGGATCGTGTGTAGGTTTTTTTTAATGATTTACTTTAAATTTTAATCCAACCTTAGCTGCATCTCTAAGCACATTTTAATTTTAAATAAAATACTTGAGCATAATTACAATTTTCTTACTGTTCTTAATAACTATTTATTGAGTTATTAAGTCTATATGAAATATTTGATAATAGAAGAGTACAAGAAAAAAAGCTTAACATTCTTTTTGATATTGTAGTCTTGCTGAGAAAAGCAAAGAAATCAGTGATTTGATGGCTGGATTGGAAAACCAGAAAAAAGCAGTATCTAATTTCCAGACACAGTTGGACAATAAATCGGCTGAAATTGCTGATCTGACTGAGCAACTTAAACAGCAGAAAACCAAAAATAATGTAAGATATTTTGAAATTCTTTTCTAGCAGCTCGTTTCATTATATGCATCTGTAGAATTATATTTTATTGCATCATCACATTTTTGGTGACATAAAGAGTTTTCAGTTATGTATTTTAGGTAACTATAAATTTACAATGCTAAATAAGTCACAATAATATTTATCCACAAGTTTAATTTAGCTATCCCAACTAGCTTTTTTTCTTTTTTCACCATGTATCCTTGCCTTGGGAATGGAAATCTCACATGAAAAAATCCACATTTGTTTTGGTTATGTGTGGCTGAATGAATTTATACATCTATCCAACCACTACTAACCAAGAATGTATTCTTCATAGATTATTTGAATTTATTTTTCTGGAATAACAGATCTTGCTTTGCTATTCTTTTTAGTTTCGGAAGCTTGTTGTTATCTATCTATTTGATGCCATCTTTTAAACCTAAAATTTCTCTCATATTTTGAGTAGTTAAACTTTACTGAGAGTAATAGCATATGCTTCACCCTTTTTGTGCCAAAATTTTCTTTTATCACAAAGTTTAATCACAAAGCACTGCCCTGGTTGTTAATTTAACAGTTGAGCTTACATGCTGTGAGCTTTAAAAATACCAGCAAAATCAATTCCTTTATGGACAATTATGATGACATCACAGTACAAAATATGTCACGGGGTTTTCACTGGGTTTTCACTGCTGTCGGTTTGGTGAGCCTAGCAGTTACCAAATATGCACCACATCACCCTGGGGGCCTCATTATATATTTAAATATTGTCCAGGCTAATTGTTTATTTGCAGTTGGCATGTGAGTTGTCGCTAAAGGCATTGCCCTTTTTAAACGGTTAAAATTTGTTTACCACACACAGCTTTGAATTGCATCTTTGCTATTCACAAAGTGATTTTCAAATATCTTTATTTAAAGGTCATTTTTCTTTTTCAGTTGCTTTTGAGTGTCCCTCTAATATTTTGATCAAACATTTACATGCAATCACTTAATTTTGTTGTGAAGTATATTTTAATAAAGAAGGAACTTTTCTGCCATAAAATGCTAATGAGGCAAGTGGACTGGGGTAGTTTAACATTGTATTCAATGCTTTGCAATTTCAGGAGTTGCGTGAAAAGAATTGGAAAGCAATGGAAGCATTAGAAAAATCAGAAAAATCCTCAGCAGAAAAAGTTGATAAAGCTTTGAAATCTGCTAGGGTAAATATCTATCAATATATTATAATACTTATCAAATTATTTTTCATGGGTTAACACAATTATTCTTGATACCGGTACACAATAATCATTCTTGATACCTCCAACTTGTCACAGAAAGCTGTTTGAACTTAAATATTTACCTTTATTTTGTAATTCCAAAATTTGCACCTTATTTAGTAGCGTCTGATTTATACTAATTCTTCTGTTCTCTTTAAAATAAAATGTGTGGTATTGTCTGAGAACACTTTCAGATAAATTGAAAAAACTGGTATAACAGATTAAATTATTTAAAAAAAGACACTGTTATTTGGAAATTCATAAGCATCTCACCCTCATTGCCAGTGTTTTAACTCCATTTCTCTTAAGTGAAAGGAAGCCACAAATCATGTAGATGAAAATAGGTACACTTTGCAAACTAACTGAATCAGTGATTATTATTTCTGTCACATTCTACCCCCTGTTCCAACCCACTTTGTCTTGCTTTGGGTACTTTTCATGTCCTCTATGAAAATTTTCTTCATATACTACTACTAATGATAAGTGATTTTATAAGGCCACCAGCACTTGCATTTATTAACTCAATTATTATCATGTGAAACATCATTGATATTTATGACACTGATTAAATGTTGGTGGCTTAACACACTTTTATATTGTAATCATCATTCTTAAAATTGGGACTTTGTGATCATCCTTTACATTTTAAAAATTAAGAGAAAATTATTTACTGATTTAAAGTGAACATTTAGAACAGGAATGTCAAATGTTTAGCTTGAGAAACACCCACACTATGCATTATTACTGGTCTTTTTTTTTAACTTTAGTAACAGTCTGAAATATTCATTACAAATAGTAGCATGTGGTCCTGATGATTTAAAAAAAAAAAAAATATTTGAAGCTGATTTCTATCTCATATCCTGCTTTCAAATGAGCCATTTTTAAAACTTTGCTTTGGATTTGAAATTAATAATCTGTGTCAGTAGTGTAAAGTTTTATTGCAAAGAGACATATTTATATCATATTGTTAGGCTTTCTATTTTATATAGTGATAATTTTCCATTCTAAAAATTTCAGTTTCTTACAATATATGTAATTTTATTTATAAGTTCTAGCTATATTTCCTAGGAGTTTGATATACCTGGCTACCATCATTGATTTGAATGTATAATGTAAAATCTGTGTTTATCAGAAAATGTATTATATATTTTTTTTTCTTCTTATAAGGAGAAATTATCAAACTTTCTTCTTTCATAAAGATAAAATTATTCAGAGTAGATAAATCCATGATACCCAGTCACCATTGGCACCTGAGAAGTTTTTCCTGGTTCCTAAATAGGCATCTTTTTATTTAAAGTCACAAAATAATGTGCTGACTCTTGAGAAAGTATGCTGGCTCCTGAATTGGTTTCGTCTACCCTTGAGCATAAGCTCTCTGTAGTCATAGAGGGTTGTTAAAGTTGATTTGGACGTCAATTTAGTTAGGAATGTATTCTACAAGATAATCAGTCATTATTTGTAATTATTAGTTTGTTTCTCCTTTTTCTTAAACATAGGAGTTTAGCACAGCTGGAATTTTAGAGTCTGAAACTTATGACAAAGCTGTATTTCAAAGACTTTTCCCTGATATACAGATTTCAGAAAAGCTGGTAATAGATTAGACCTAATAAATATAAATATAATGTATTTTACAATTAGCATTAATCAAAATAAAAATGTAGCTTAAATAAAAATTACACTTAACTTCCCCATTAGAAATATTGCTCTTTTTTTTCCCCCCATAATGATTAGACTAGAAAGGTAAATCTTATAGGTTGCATCTTTGCATAAAACATAAATCCTTTATATATTGTTTCAGGCTCACAGGGAGTGGGTTGTTTCATTTGAAAAGCAAGCAGTTAAGAAACTACAAAATGCAAGTTTACATCTATCCCTGTTCATTTATTAATTTTATTCAATCTCATTTATTAATTTTATTCAATCTCATTTGTTTTAAATTAAAATACTCATTTAAAAGACAAAACAAAGTGTATGCTAATTATACTGAAATAATAATTTTTGGTTCAATATGCCATGTTTTCAGGCCTTTTCTCATATTGTTCACAGAAAATTACAACCTGTTGAATATTTTTGAAATTCTAAGATCAGTGAAGTCAATATGCTTTTCTGTTACAGATTCCTGATGTCAGCAAAACATCCAGTGTAGAAAAAGAAAATGAGCTTTTGAAAACTGAAATTGATGTGTTGAAAAAAAGTGTTAGTTCTTTGGTAAGTACAATTCTGTATTATATACATAAAAATATGAAAAGTTTTAATGGGAATGTTTTTAAAGATTAGAGGATTCTAAACCATCTAATAGTAATAATGACTAATTAAAGAAATATACTTTCATTAAGTGATATCCTTAATTTATTAAGTTAGATTAAAAGATACAACTATCTGTGTGTACTGAAGATTTAAATTAAAAAGACAAAATACAAAATTCTTATTTTTGCCTTAATGGGTTAAAACTTAAATCAAATGGTTTTGGTTTATTCCAAGTCAATTCTGTTCTTCTATGTTAATTTATTCATCATATAAATTGTTTTCAATTTATGTTGTTTGCATATCACATGACCAATATATTGCAATATCCTATTTATAATTATGGTTCCTAGTATTCAAATGTTTGGTTATTTTGCAGAATTCTTGTTTTTTTTTTCCATCTGGTTACCAAAGTAGCTTATATGGATTCAGTAGCTAGGTGACTGAAGACATTTATGTAGCTACCATTTGAGTAATTTTTATAAATAATTGACTGAAGGAAAAATTATTACAGAATTCCAGTGAAGATAAGCTGAAAGTGCTTGAAGATAAACATACAAAGGCTCTCAAACAAATACAAGATTATGAGAGACAAGTTGCTGAATTGGTAAGTTAGTATGTTACAGAAAATTTTCAAAATTGCCTTGTTAAACTTTTTAATTACTTTTTAAATTTTTTAAAATAAAAATAAAAAACATTTGTGCTTTGGGGAGTTAATGCTATATTCATAATAATATTTTAATTGTTCCTCGTTATCTCCTGCATTGTAAGCTAAACATTTTAGTTTTTGTATATATTTATGTACAAATTAAAATTTGAAATAGTGACATTGTTTTTTTTCTTACAGAATTCAAATTCGCAAACATTAAACGATTTAAAGGGTGAACTCGCCCAATTGAAATCCAGTCAGTCACTCTTATCAACGGTTAGTTCAAAACACACTTTTAAACATAAAAGGGTGTTTTCTAATTATATTACTAATTAAAATTATCAATTTTTTAAAAATAAAATTATCATGAATAATTTAAAATTGTTTCAATTGCTGAATTAAATCCCATCTCTTATGTGTTAAATTAATTAAATAACTTTGTATAACTAAATGCTATTAATAATTCATCAATTGCAGGAAGAATTAGCTAAGATTGCTGAGTTAGAAAATGGGAATAGTAGGTTAAAGACAGAAGTTGATCACTATCGCAGTATTGTTTCTGAAACTGTGAGTATTCAACTTATTTTCAGTAATTAAAAATGTATGCATCTAAAATAAGATATGTGTTTAAAATTAATGTTTACATCTTCCAGAAATTTTGAAAAGATAGTAAAATAAGTTCAATCTCTCTATAATAAGGAGAACAAATTGCACCAGTTGGAAAAAAGTATTGATGCTGAAGAGAAAAAGTGGCAAGAAAAATTGAAGCAAGCTCAGTCTAGCTCGCAAAAGGTAATCAAGATCAAATGTTTGTTTAAAGCTATGCTTTTAATATCTTTTTGTTTGTTTTGTCATATTTTCTGCTTTAAAATCTAGGAAGTCTTTTAGCCAACTTATATCCATAACATTAAAAAAATTTTCATAACAGGATTCAGTATCACAGCAAAAAGTACTAGAGCTTGGGGCTTTGGTAGCCCAACAAGAGCTTCAAATTGAAGAGTACAGAAAAATTTTAACAGTTACTGTAAGTTAATTTTTGATGTATAACCTGGGCATATCTCATGGTTTTAACTTTTCTATTTATTACATTGGTGGTTTCATGTTTCTTTTATTATCCTTTTCATTTGATGGGAAGATGTGTGTTTAATTTTTAAGACAGAGCAAATATAAACTTATAAAAGATAAAGATATGAGAAGCCTTTCTGAAGAACTTAATGTTAAATGTATATAAATTAATCACTTTCATCCCTAGAGAATAATTACATCCACACTTTGAAATTATTTGAAAAATTAAGGATCTGATGCTTTAATAACTTAATAAGAAGAATTATTAGTAGCAGCATTTGCAAAAAATACTAATAACTTAAACGATTAAAACTTGATTTCCATAATTTTTAAGAGCTGTTGATTAAATTTAACAATTACCATTTGATGGCTGGGTACTCTGTTTTTATGGTTGGGTACTCTGTTTTTATTTTCAATGAAACCCAATGATTTAAACTAATTGCTCTTGTCCTTTGCTTGGATTCACCATCTATCATCAAATCCTCCATTGTTCCAGGCAAATAGTTTAACAGAATTAGAGAAAAAAGTAGCTACAGAAGAGAAGTTATGGCAAGATAAGTTGACTGCAGCCCAGTCAGAGCTTACAAAGGTACATGAAAATGGTTCTTTCCTGGCACCTGATTTCAAAGTCCTTCATCAGTATTTGGTTTTAATGTGCATAAATATTTTCCAATAATATTAGTGGTTCATAATAATTTAACATTGTAATTTATTTTGCATGTAAAATAATATATATACAAGAGTTATAGAAATGGTACCACATCTTTTTTTATGGTCTTTTTGTAGTTAGCAACTTTGAAAAGTATATTTTTCAAATATTTTTGTTTTTAAACTAATTCATTAAAAATTATATACTTATGATTTAACCATTCAAAAATTTGTGTCACAAATGATGCTCTGGTAACATTTTGAAACCAGCGGTAATATTTTTAAAATTTAAACTCTATTTTAGACAAAAGATCAGCTGTCCAGCTTAAAGCAAGATTTAGGATCTCAGGGAAATCAAGAGGTATTTATAGAAGATTTCAAATGTAGTGTTTTTAAAAAAACAAAAACATTTTGACTCTGTTAAAATTTAGAGTATGTCTTCTGTCTAATACCTAATTAACAAAGTTGAATTTATTGCAATTACAATTTTGACAACAAAAACAAGCATATAATTTAATATGTCATAGACAAATAAGTTATCAGGAAGACAACATGGTATTATTTTGTGAAAGAAATAATTTCTTACTTTTTTATTTTATAAGCTATCAACGTTCTTTCTACTGCAAGTTGATTCTCAACTGCATAAATAAAATCATACATTGCTGTTAACAACCACCCCAGTCAAACTAAGTATTAACCATTGATTACTAAAATGTTAAATTCCCATGAAAAATAAGATTCACCTCTACAATGAGGTCTTGCTACATTAAGTGACAATGATTAGTGAATGCTACCCTCTAATCTAACCTATAGAAGTCTTGCTGCATTTAGTGACAATGATTAGTGAATGCTACCCTCTAATCTAACCACTAGAAGTCTTGCTGCATTTAGTGACAATGATTAGTGAATGCTACCCTCTAATCTAACTACTAGAAGTCTTGCTGCGTTTGGTGACAATGATTAGTGAATGCCACCCTCTATTTAACCCTTCATAGCAGTCATTATTTGTTTTTGATCATAAAATAAGCCTATCTATCTATAAATAATTGAATACAGTCGCTGATGTAACTAAAGTTAGTGATGCCAGGACCTTTACCACCCCCACCCCCCCTTTTCCAGGAGGGGAAGGAGGGGACTTCTTCAAAATTGCTTAAATAATAACAAATGGAAAATATATTTTTTTAATGAACATTTAATTTTTTTTTAAAATTTGGTCCTTATTCCGCTTGTACCATATCTACAATGACTTTGCACTTTGACGATATAGTGACTGAAAAATGCAGAAGTATGTGCATAAATACTGTTTCAAAACAGTTACAGAAAAAGAAAATACCTTTTCATTTGTCTGGAAGATAACTAAATCTATATCTGCAAATGTTTGTAGAGAATTAATTGGCTTATTTCACTTACTCAAAACTCGATGAATTGGCTTCTTAATTTTTATCCATAACTTTTTATACATTTCTTCTAAATGGTGGATCAAATTATTAGTCAATTTTTTCCAAGCTTGATTCACAAAGTTTGTTGACCCTATCTAGACTTCTGTCAAATGTGTTACTGTAAACACTCCTGTATAAGTGACAAACAAAAAAATTTCAATAAAAATCATGGGTGGGACCTGTCCACTCCTCATCAGTTTTGTTTACTGTTATTTAGTGTGCAGTAGTCATTTACGTGAAATGCCAGAGTATCATTTTCTCCTTTGCTCTGGCTTATATTTGAGCACAGGACAATCCATTTTAAGTAAATCTTCATTAACAATCACGCAGTTTAAGACAAATGAGTTTCAGCTTTCAAGTTGTTATGAAACATTTTTGTGATGTCTGTTTAACAATTATTAGTTATATTTGCGTTAAAATAGGGCCATGTAACTCCCCAAACTAGGGATGCGTCCTATCTTGGGGTCAATCGTAACTACCCACTTTGACAATCCCAAATTAAGGTTGCAACCTATACTTAAGTATATATATTAGTGTATGCTGCTGAAAATAAAATTTAGTCATCTCTTTCATCCTTAATCGTGCCAGAAAAAAATAATATTTTGTTTGGTAGTAAACTAAAAAGACTGTCCTCCAAAAAGTGGGGCTGACTGCCCTTTTGCCCAATCTCTTCCTACGTTGTTGTCAACGATCCTCTTATCATAGCTTGTATGATTAAAATTGAATATGATTAATATTGGGCATGAATTAGTTTGTTTTTAAATGTCCCAACAAAATTTTTACCTGTACTGCTAAATGTCTTTTAGTTAAACTACATAAACGTAATTGAGAAGATTTCCTACCTTTACCCTTGCACGACATAGTGAATGATATTTTTTTTTTTTTTTGTATTCATTTATTTATTTTCTTTTAACTAAAATGCTCAAGGATTAGCAAAGGAATAATTATTTTAAAATTTAGCTGAAAATGAATAAAAAATTTCAAATTACCTGTACTGCTAAATGTCTTTTAGTTAAACTACATAAACGTAATTGAGAAGATTTCCTACCTTTACCCTTGCACGACATAGTGAATGATATTTTTTTTTTTTTTTTTTTGTATTCATTTATTTATTTTCTTCTAACTAAAATGCTCAAGGATTAGCAAAGGAATAATTATTTTAAAATTTAGCTGAAAATGAATAAAAAATTTCAAATCTGAAGGATAAATAAACAAGAAGTTCCTCATTGTCTATTACTATTATTTTTTGCTGTGTATTGGCCTGTTTAGGATCTATCTGATTTGTGCTTTGCATATCACTGTGTTGAAAAAAGCCTCACCAGTATTGTAGATGAGGTAATGAAAGATGAGTATAAATGCCACCTCTCATTACTCCTGCTATTTGATTTGCATGTTGTAGTGAGGTGATGTAGAAGACAAGACCAACCAGTCTGGCAATTTCTTGTTGTTAAAAGAAATTAATGTTTTTAATATGAAAATATTTTATCTCCATAAATGTTCTTCCTTTTATAACTAAAACTGAACTTGAAAAATCTTAATTTTGACCTTTTGGATGCTGTTTTCCAAGGAATTGTCAGATCAAATCCTTACAACTAACTGCATGCTTTCTTCTTGCGAAGTCTTCTTAAAAAAATATATATATTCATTTAAAAAGCTGTTTGAAAATACATTTTAATTAACCAAATGTGGTGCCCATCAATTTAATTTTTCATTATTCCAGCAAGTTAAGTGATATTAATTTTGCCTAATTAATTTTATTTTCCATTTTTGTTTTTTTTTAATACCCTTACATTTTTTTTCCCTGATTGAAAAGTGGAAATAGATGAATTAGTTAAAGGAAATTACTTATAAAAAAAACATTGATAAATTCATGCTTTGGAACAAAATGCTTTTATAAAATATATTAAATAGAAGTGCATTAATTTTAGTAATTCTTTCCACCCCAACATGAATGGCTTTAGCACTGCTGTTAGCAGAGAACTGTACTAAAATTAAGCTTTTCATCCGATATTTCATATCTCACCTATTTTACCCTTTACCAAGAGCTTTTATTTGTGGAGTCAACATTTTTTTTTAAACATACAAAATAAGATCATTACAAATTTAGTGTTAGTATTAAGTATGATTTAAAGCATTTTCCTTTTTTTTTACAATGCATTTGATTACTAACTTAGCCATTCTTAATAAAATAATATTAACTTCTGTTTTATCATTACAATTGTGTAGTCGTATTATTTTATAGTCCATTTCTAGAAAACCTACTTATTGCCTTCATGTATAGTTTTAGACTTGTTGCTTTCTACTTAAGTATCGATTTACACAAGTGTAAATATATATATTTTTTTATCAGATGCAAGAAAGAGTAGAGAAGCTGGAAACAGAGCTCAGGGAAGCACAGGAAAGAATTGTTGTCATCACCAGAGAGAAAGAAACTGTGAGTATATATATGGTTTTTTTAAATATATTTTCTAGAAATGTTTATGTCTAATTGCATATTCTACTGACAGATATAAAAATTCTTTTATTCTCAAATCTTAATGAGAACTAATAAGTCCCTGATATGGCTAAGAGAATTCACTGAATGGCAGTTTTTTTCACTAGTGAAATAATTTAATGTAGATGTCATGTGTTCAAATTGTCTTATTTATGTGCTGAAAATGTACAATGTGATAAAAAAACAACTTTTCCATTTGTTTGGATAATTAAAAGAATCTTATCTTATCTTGTATGTAAATATTATTTAAAAGCTATTAATTCTTTGCATTGGAATTTTACATCTTTAGTGTTGTATTATTTTATCGATTCACCAAATAAAGGTTTTTACTATTCTTCCATTAAACTTTACAAATAGAAAAAAATATTTGGCACAAAAGGTGGTTCATTAGATCTACTGCATTTTTAATTGTAGAATAAACAACAAACATAATATTTTTATGTTAAAGACATCTTAGAGATATTGCATGCTCATTATCATGATGTTTGCATAAAATTCAAGGTGACCTGTCATCATGAGATGAGTTTTTTCTATTCATTTTGGCTGGATATCTGATTTTATTTACAAGTTTTGCCATTGAAAAAATCTGTCTTGAAATTATCATAATGACGATGTAGCTGCTAAAGATGTTTAAAGCTTTGTATTTTTTATCTGATATTTTAAAAGGCGGGCTGTATTTCTGAAGTGCATATTAACTGGGCATATTCTCCCATTGTTAAGGTGATATCATTTCGGTGCATTAAAACACTTGTGTCTTCTACTCATTGACCAGGTTATCTCACAGATCACGGAAACAAGTAAACAAGTTTCAAGCTCAAATTCTGAGGTGCTTGAGCAGGTAAATGGACATATCTTAGTTATTCAGTTTAATTATAACTTAAAAAATTTTTTAAGTATAAAGTTTAAAGGAAATATTTTAAAATAGTTGTAATAATTTTAGGTTTTAGAAACCTTTAGCTTTTTAGTTAAAGACGTGACATCATTCACTATCTTCCATTTTGGAATTCCCCAATTATGCCACATGGTTGTTGCAAAAAAAATAATTTGCTAAAAAACATTTCCTAATTCCCCCTAGATGCCCCAATGATGTCACCCAAAGAAGACTTGTATTTCTTTTCTTATTTGATGTTGGACTTGGACACCTGAATTTTCTTTTAAATTGTTGTTTTTTAAAACAAAAATTCTGTTACCAAAAAGTACTGAAATCACATATTCCCATAATTTAGTTCCATTATTAGTAGTATTTGCTTTGTATTATTAGTGTTGTAAATTTAGTAGCTCTCTAAAATGTACCATGGACCTTCACTTTAGTTGCATTATATTGTTGATAAATAACTTGTTACACTTAATTTGCTGTACATCATTTATTTAATTTTATTAAAATATTTTGTGATATTCCTTAGCAACTGACTGAACTGCAAAATCAGCTAGATGTTGAACGTAAGAAAAGTAAAGAGCTTTCATTGAATGTTGTTAAACTTAATGGCATCATTAAAACAGGACAGGATGCGCTTGCACAGGAACAAGGCTTAGTAAAGAAACTCAAAGAATCTTTAGATTCTAAGTCAGTGGTAAGTTTTTTTTTTTTTTTAAATTCAAAGAAAATCTGAATTTTATTCCATTTAACCCTTTTTGAAAGAATTTATGAATTCATTTTTTGGCTTCCCCCCTTGTATTTTGTATGATAGAAATGAATGAGAAAAAAATTCACCAATATTACAATTTTCAATATGAATACTTATAACTTGAAATTTTACTCACTCTGTAAAGGTCAATGTCAACATATATAATATAAAAACAAATTCTTTTCATGCCATAAGATACCTTGTTCAATGTACTTTCAGAAAATGTATACTTTTAAGGGTCTCTGAATTTATTTAGTCTGGGATTTTGAAGAACATATGAAAATGCTAAAAATGCTTGACACGAATGTTCCCCCTAAGGTTTGCTGGTTCGTGTGCAAAATTATATAGTTGTGTGCAGTTTTACAGCATCTTTTTTTTTTGTGTGCAAAATTTTACAGCTCACAAATACAAACACACACTTACATGAAAATTTGCTGTGCGGATACTCAAAACTGCTGCACTGCGTCTGTGAGATAGCTGCGCAGCTTAAAGGGAACATATATACAGAAAAATGCACTCTGCACTTATAGGGTTAAATTTAATAAATTCAAGGGGTTAAATTTAATAAATTCAAGGTAGATTTACTTAACTCATTCCTTACTTAAATCCACATTCCAAAAGAAAGAAGTAATTTTGGGTGAACTATAATTTTAAATATCAAAGAAACTGTAGTAACACCCAATCTAGCTATATAAAAAGGAATAAGATAAAAACTTTCTGTTTTCTTAATTTAAATCCCAACACAATTCAGTTTCCACTTGAATATTCTTTGATGCACGATTTTGTTACTATGGTGAATAATAATGAGAGTAGAGCATGTTTCATGATTCATTTTGTCACATCCTGTGGGACACATAAAAGATGCATTTAGTCTCAACCAATGGGAATAAGTTATAAATTATTTATTGCTCTAAAACACGAAAAGTAGTCTGAATCTTTGTTCTTACCATAATCAGATTTTTTTTTAAATACTTGAAATTATATTTACAGCACTCTGGGTTAACAGAAGCTGAGGAAACTGAGCAGGTAATATTTTGTTCTTGTCATAATAGGTTCACTTTCGCTCTTCTTTCTGCTATATTGTTTTCATTTTTGCTGTAGTTTCATGTCATGCTTTGTCTCTTTGTATTTTTTTCTATTTTGCCTGCATCACCACATTCAATAATTGACTAACTTTTCTTAAGCAGTATTCTATTGTGCTAGATCTGATCATCCTTTCTGTAGATTTTATTCTTTTTTTGTTTGTGAGCATAAGAATATTAAAAATACTAGTTTTACTACTCAGAAATGTGATCTTTTAGATAAAATGTAAGATTTGTCTCAAAGAAAATTAAGAGATATTTTTAGAAAAACAAAAGAAAAAAGTAATTTCAGCATTTTTATGGAGAAAAAAAAAGTTATTATTTCATCTGCCAAGAAGAAAATATGTGTCTAAATAAACTAACAAAATTGATCTCCTTTAAACAACTGATAAACTACCACAATTGTATCAACAGCATTTGTATTTCATATTATTATATAACAACTAAAACTTTTTAAAAAATCAACTAACATTACATTTCTCCCTGTATTGAGACGTCGGTTAATCAGGTTAATATATCATAACGGTTGTCATAAATTCTCAACCATACAAAAGTGAAATAAATTAAAAAAGCAAGTATTTCTGGTAATTACTATTAGCAATCTGAGTTGCAAAACATCCTCAGTTAAATGCCTATAAATGTTGAGTTTTGTCATAGTCTCATAGATTTCATTTAAAATTGTGAAACTAATTTCAAATTACCATTAAATGATCATACACATATATAAGGATCGAATTCTCTATATTATCTTTGCGGTCTCCCTCGGTATTGTTGCATGTGATGTGTAGCTGCGGGTCAAACTCTCGGAGAAACAAAAGTTGCTGGAACGAGAGATGGCCACAAACAAACAGCTAAGTGAGAAACTGGTGAGTCACAGGTCTTTCCAGCAATAGCCAATTCTGATAAACATCCTTTGTTAGCTTATTGGCTTTAAGTTAATAAAAAGAAGGAAAGGCATTGTTAAATTAAAAGAACCTTCAAGCAACCAAGACTACTGTTAAAAAATTTTTAAAAATTGTTAAAATTAATCCGATACAAGTTTAAAATATTGAAAAGTAGTTAAAAGGATGTTACTTAAATGTTTTTTTGAAAAGCTTAATTTAGATTCAAATTAGCATCCTACTGTTATAATATTATTGTGCTTTATAAAAGTGAATATGTTAGGAAATGAAAAATCAAACTAGAAAATACCTTCTACAAAAGAACGTTTATAAACACTACTGTTAAAACAAAATTAGTCTTGATTGGAAAAATTGCTCTTTCATTTAATTTCTTCCATAATTGCTTTGTTGTAAGTACGCTAATCTTTATGTGAATAAAATTTAGGCTCAGCTGGGCATGTTGGTAAGTAAAGCGTTAATCCAGGTGATGGACCAAAGTGCTTTTTTTACCAGTATTTTTCTAGCAAAAACAATCTTCTCTAGGTTTGCTTGGCTCTAAGCCTTGCTAATATGAAAAAAAACAACAAAAAAACTTCCCAAACGCTTAGTGTACATTCTAATTGTTTCCAGTACACTGTGACGCACAAAGTCAATTTCAATTCTTTATCCACAATTATGAATAAGTATGATTGAATCCATGTCCCCCATATTAAAACCCCATGCCCTGTTGCTCTGTCCTTGTCGTCCTGTTCCCCCCCCCCTCCCGGGACTATATATAAATAAATAATTAATTAGTCAATGTTTTAGGAATTTTAACTTTTAACTATTTATTTTTTGTTTATGACAATAGGGAGCTCGGAAGTAGAATCAGGTCTGCTGAACATTATTTCTTAATTGACTTTGGGCTAACCAAATTTCTTCTTTCTTGCATCTAGTCTTTGAAGGCTTAACATTTTCTCATATTAGTAATTAACATATTCAATTTTTAAAGGACTAGAAATTTTTCTTCTTGGGTAATGTCATAGTTTATATTTTAAAATTTTGATAAATTTTAGTTTATTGTGCATTAATTTGTTTAAACGTGATAATGTAAATTTTTAACCAGTAATTTTAAAAAGCTGGCAAATTACCATACCCATGTGATCTCTCCATTGCTTATCATTTCTTACCTCTTTCTACAATATTGCTCCAGGTGAAGGAAGGATTAGGGTTGCTACTATTGCTACAATCAATTTTGCCATTGCAACATCTACAATAAAAAAGAACTAAATAGACAGATTTACATTGACAAATATTTACCATTAGTACCAATAATGGTTCTAAATCAATTTATTAAAAATTATCCTTTCCAAATAATAATTTTACAATCCTTTCCTATGATAGCTCACATTATTTGCAGTCTTAGTCTTAATAAATAATGACAAATATACACAGATACTGGTAATTAATTATGAATAAACATGCTGTTTTTCTTAGATTTGCGATTGTCGCCTTCTTAATATAAAGTATGACCTTTTTATTTCAAGAGTGAATGCTCTAGTTAGTTGTAAGAGGAGCACACATTTAAGGTTTTAATGTATTAGCCTATTTTATTAGCTTAATTTGGTTTTGTTAATTGACATTGATGAATAAAGTGTTTTGTGAAATGTTTAAAAAGAATAATTTTGAACACCTTTCTTTCACACGGATTAGAACTTTTATTTAATTTAAATATCTATCTGTTGTTAATCCAGGCAGCCACAACCAACCCTGACAATGGAACTTCTGTCTAAGATCAGTGAGAATCAAAGATGTCAAAGGTCACTGCCAAATGAGATAATCTAACAAGTGCAAGTCGAGCAAGAACCAAGTGAATTTTACCAGATAAAAATCACCTGACTTTAAAAACATTTTTTTGTATTTTAATGTACACCCTGTTTAAAATGTTTATGCTTCTTTAAAGTTGGAATTTAAACAGAAAGCGCCGTGCACAAAAAGGATGGCAAGGATCAAAGTTAAATTCAATATTAGTGTATCAATAAGTTAAATGTTTACCGGCTCCATAAGTTACTGCATGAAATAACTCATTTTTGTATCATCATTTTACAAAAGATGTAATAGTTGCCACGTGTTCTCATTTCTAGTGTTTCTAACAAAAACTGTATCTTATTTCCTTTGATAATGTGAAACCCCGGATTTTTTGTTGCAGTTGGTTCCTTTTTATTTTGAACTATAATATTAGTAATTTTTTTATGTTGCAAGTAGCGGAGTACAGATTATAAACTTAAGTTCACTTTAAAGAATTTTCTGCTGAAGATCATGCGTCATTCTACCCCTTTGCTGTTCACAAATTGTAATGGTGATGGTTTTTAATGCAAAGGACACCATTTGTTTTTTAAGTACAACACATACACAATGTTCCATATAATTCAGGTGTTGTCAGTGTAGGGGGGTGTAAACATATGGACATATTCTACATCACTACCATGTAGAATCTATTAAAGATTGCTTGATTAATATGATTTGCTCTTAATTAATTGTATTTGTTACTGTAAACAGTTTCTCTTTGTATCCAACTGTAAGGAGTTTTTCTTTGTATCCAGGTCAGTGGCTATTGATGTGATGTTGAAAACATTTTTGGAGATATTTAAAATGAATGAGAAGTGTTCTTTGTTAATTGTGAATAAGCCACTAAATCACATTGTCAGAATGAAATGCCGTTCATATGTCCATTTTGGTTGGTAATTATTTATAAATTACATTAGATTTGATTCCCCCGCTTTTTTTTTTTTTTTTTACAGTAAAGGCTTTGGTAATTATGGGAAGTGATACTTAATATTTTTCTTTTTTTTTCAATTCTTGAAATCAGTTAAAATAAGACATGATTGAATCCTTTCATTTTTAAATCTTTGAAATGCCGTTCATATGTCCATTTTGGTTGGTAATTATTTATAAATTACATTAGATTTGATTCCCCCGCTTTTTTTTTTTTTACAGTAAAGGCTTTGGTAATTATGGGAAGTGATACTTAATATTTTTCTTTTTTTTTCAATTCTTGAAATCAGTTAAAATAAGACAAGATTGAATCCTTTCATTTTCAAATCTTGGTTTAGAAACATATTTCAGAAAGCAGATTTAATGATAAATAATTTCTTTTTCCTACCTGATCTAAAGTCTGCTTGTCTAACTTTTGACTTAGTTTTGTTTTTACCCTGTGCCTTACTTGCACTATTCAAAGTCTCTTTCGTGTTACCTGCTGCAGTGTTGATTTAAAAATTTTCTTTAGAGTTTTTCAGTTTTAGGCTTTTTAAAACCGTAAATCTATTGAAAGAAATGATAAAAAATTGTTAGCTGTTTCTGTAATTAAAGCATATTTTATATGGAAAAAATGGTGAGTCTTAATTTAAATTTGAAGATCTTCACTCCCTGCATGTCTAAAACAAAAAATAAAAAAAACTACTGATAACTCCAAATGTTTTTAAAAGAATAAATCAAATTTAGGAATAGTGGATAGGGATCTCCTAGATTAACAAAGATGATAAATATCTTTGATTTTCATTTGTTTGAATATCAAAGAAAAAAATTGTATGTAACATAAACTTTGTCCTAGGTATAGGCACCTTGCTTATTAGAGATAAGACACAATTATGTTTCATAGTCACAAAATATTCAGAATGCTAGAGGGCAAATTTATGGAAATTTTAAAATTACATTTGCATTTTGAAGACTTCCTGGAATCTACCAATCCCTATCTCTTGCTTTTTTAAAATCATTATTTTTCTTCTCTTTCTTATTTTTCATCTATCTGTAGATATTTTTCATTTCCGTTGCTTGTTTTTCTCTTTTGCAGATACTTTTTTAAAAATTAAATAATTTTTTTCATCACTATCGGTAAATATTTAGGAACCTTAACATTTCCTGGAACATTTTTTTTAAATAGTTTTTGCAACAACATATTTATAAGATGCTGGCAACAAATTTCAATAGCAACATGAACTAAATTCTTCTATGGTTCAGACTTAAGTTTCAATGTAAACCAATTTTATTTATTTTGTTCAGAATATTCAGCCAATTTTATCTCAATTAGTGATTTTGTATTTCTTTTTCCCCAAATTTTTTGACTACCTGTATTTTTTGTAAAATACTAGAGTGTATTCTGTATGTCTGCTTTAAAATTGTGATCTAATTGCAGAATACAAACTTTTGTTACTAGTCACCACATTGGTACCTTCTGTGATTTATTGTCTTATTTACCTTTAATATTTATTTTTTTTCTGTCATCTCTATTGTCTATTCCATCAGAATGAATATAGACTTTAAACACGCTTATAAGTTTTTATTTTTCTCCCCTCAAAATCTGAATTTCATTTTCAAGAAAATCATTCATTCTGCAATATTTTTAAATTTAGGAAAATTATGAGATCAATAAGTGACTTGACTTCTTCAGTGATGAATTCTGTTATGTGCTGAAAAAGTAAGAACAATTTTTTGATCATTGTTATTGGGGCCAATAAAGTTCTACATCTTTACATTTTATATTTTAAAAAAATAAACATTCAGTTTAAGTTTGTTGTACATATTTGTCTTGGTCTGTGTTGAATGTTATCGAAGACTAATTTAGTTTTAGTTTGTGTATATATACATGTATAAAAAACATTCTATACACCTTAAAAAGTTCTTTCTTTGCTTTTGTACAGGTCGCCAGCTAGCTATGCTATTGTTTTTTTAAAATGTAGCCTCTCTATTTACTTAATCATGTATAAGGTCAATGAGATGTAAACTGCTGTAAGGCATTCATCACTGATTTTGTTCCAATATTATTTTCATTCCTACCACTAAATTATTGGCTAAGAAATTATTAACTAATACACTAAAATGCATTGATGTCAACTATATTTAGGATACACAAAATCGGCATAATTTAATACTAATATAGAGTATTTTACAAAAATACAGTATAGAAACATGTTTAAGACACTAATTTGCTTGGTTAAACTTTGTGTCTGGAAATCTCTTGAGTTACATTGCATTTATGGATAAATTGTTTATGTACATTTTATTTTCCAATTTGATAATGTACAATGATTTAATTTTGACATCACTATAAGTGCAATATATGAGCAGTGACTATAATCTGAGATTTGGTGGACGGAAGAATAATTTGTATTGTGGAGAAATTACCCAACAAAATCATGTATTTATCATATAATAAAAATGTGCTCATCTAATTCTTTGTCTCTTGTGCTTTGTCATATAAATATTTAACGCTAACTAAAACTAAGCTAAAATGCTTTCTAATAGTAGTAAAACGAGACAATATAAATGGTGAAATACATTTTATTTCTATTTAAGCCATTTAAAATTCTTTCTGTCACATACATTTTTCATTTAATTTCAACTATAAAAAAACTATTCTGTCCATCGATGCATACATTGAGTGTTGGTACAAACATAGTATAGCCGCATACCTTCCTGTTGAGGAAATAGAAAACTGGAATATAAAGACCTTAACATTTTTGTTTGTTCTTAAAACACCATATAAAAATTAATCTCATCAACTTTTAGTACTGTACTTATTCCAAATAGCTCTTGTATATTTTGAAATTAGCTTACTTCAGCCTTAGTGCTGTGTGACTGAAAGAAAACAGCTTCTCTGTGGGCACATTTTGGACAGGGGTGGTCCTCTGTTCTAGGCAATGTTGGGTCAGCAACTACATCTCCAACTATTTGTGTGAGCTCACTGTTTTAAAACAAATGGATGAAAATGCTATCGGGTCAAATAACTGAATTAATGTTGTTATTAAATTTAATGTATATGAATATCACAAGATTTATTAAAAAAGTTTGTGTGTAAACCAATTTCTGATAATGTTTTTAAAACAGAAATAGGAAAAGCTTCTAAAATAAACATTTTTTTAACAATTTCTAAAACAGGTGGAATGAAATTATTATATCACATTAGAAAACATCAAATATAGGGATTGAAAATATAATGCTGCTTCTGAGGGCTAAATTCCTTGGGCTAACACTACATATACACTACATTAAAAGATTGACATCCAGACTAGTTAAACAGAAAAAGGAGTGAACCAAGTACTTTGGTTAATAAGGAGAGGGTTGTCTAAGTGAAAAATGACAGCATTTTTATTTTTTAAAAATGGATGCCCTTATCCTAAACTTTGATTACCCGGTACTCAAAATTACTGTCATTACTTTATACTTGTGACAATATTTCAAATACTCGTAGTCTATTTAAATAGGCTTTTTTAAAAATGTAACAATGAGCATTAAAGGTACAATGGCAAAGTGCTGTTGTACCACAACAAAAATACTTACTCAACCTCGTGCATAATTTTATTGACATAAATGCACCTATTATCTGCTTCTTGTTGGTAATCACAATTCCGACACTAGGTAAAAATACAAAATAAATTATTATTAGTTTTTTTTTCAAAAGTAAAGTGTTCCTCCTGTACTGGACTGACTCTTTAAACATAGTTTTATCAAAATATTCAAGAATTTTAATGCAAGCGATTTTTCAAAACCTACAAAAAAAATATATAAAAGATAATATAGTTTGAAGTGAAATAATTTTTTCGGACTCACTGCATACAATAGAATTCTGTTTTCCTTGTCTTCTTTAGGGTACAGCATATTGTTGCTGCAAATGATAGTGTATTATTAAGTGCATAATACTGTCATAAGAACATCCATATAAATTATATGATTCAACATCACTAATAAAATTTTTTGAAATGTGTTAGAATGCTTCTAAAATGTCTAGCACCTGTATACTAAGATGAAATGATGAAACTATTAAGGACTTAATTTTTAAAAATCCATATCACTAATATCAAATTATCATACAGTTTAAAGGGATAAAGAATATACAATATGATTTTATTATGGGCCCTAAGATCATAAATTTGAAAGACCTTACTCATATTCCCAGCATAAACTTCTTAAAGCTTATACCAGGAGTCCCCAGGGGCTACGGCTACATGACAATGAAATTGATAACTTGTACCATTACTTAATTTAACAGAATCGAACACATTTAAAATATGCCTACATAATATTAAATATTATAATTGAACTTGAACCCTCAGAGTTCATTTTTTAGGGGAAGAAGGTAAGGGTCAATCCAATAATAGTGAGTGGTAGAGTTGTCAATATTTCATGTCAAATATAGATAAAACTGTTTAAAAATCAAGTTCCATAGGTCCTTCAAAATCACCAGGCACTATGTGGCCAATAAAAATGGTACTGTGGCATAAATTTTTAAGTAGCTGTCAAATAGTTTTTTGTGCAAGTCAGGTCTTATTCTTCTAACTTATGGCTAAGGAGAAGGTTTTTTTTTATTATTCCAAATTTAAAATAATATCTTAAAATTTTAACCAGGGCATTAAATATTGTTTTGGCGCCATGCGCCATGGGTATCAAAAATAAAAATTTATTTGTGGCTACATGAAGAACTCTTCTTTATGTGATGCTTTCTTTTGAAAAAAAAAAATTATCAAGATGCTAATTTGGATGAATTATATTTGTTAAAGTTGTTTCATTTATTTATGCCTAGATATTTTGGTAATAATAGATACCTGATTTACTTGATCTTTTGTCAAATTAATAATTTGGTCAATTTACGCAATCAGCGCCACCCTGTTTTCCCACGGCCACCATTTTTATATTGTAGTCTTTAACCCACTGTCTACAACTCATGATTTAAGTCATGATTTACTAAGTCAAATGTCCCAGAACCAGTTCTGTACTGGTAAAAACATATGAATGGTCATCCTTAATACTTAAAGTTATACTTATGGGTTATTCTATAGGTCATAGGCCTACTAAAATTATTTTTAGCCTAATTCCCTTTATCTTTAATATTCTATACGACGTATCTATATGTCTGGCGACCGGACGAATAAGTTCCCGAGATATTCGTCCAGCTATTATATATATATATTCGACCAAGTCACATGATCGCTGTAACAAAGTTGCGTGAGATATTAATATTATGCACGAGATATTTGTACGCCAGCCTTGTACATGACCGCTAATAATTGATGATACTTAAGGGTACTTCATTTCAACCAATTCTAGATACTCTGGACATTTACATGAAAAAGAAATATGTTCAATTCTACAAAAGTAATAGTAAAATTAGAAACATTTCTGGTATATATAATATGATGAACAAACACTTCAAACAGTTTTCGGATGATCTTTTTTCTTTGTAAAACATTAAATACTTTTGACACAAGTTTTTTTTTCAACTAGAAAGTTGGTTAATTTTTAAACTTTATTTTTACTTATGATTTATGGAGGTTTTGGTCAATTTAATTGCGACAATTACTGACAATTATTTATTTATATTTGAGTTTAAGTTTAGGCTTAGGCCTTTCCGGCCTTAATTATGGTAAATAAGATTGAATTAGACCTAGCCTATTTATTACTATTTTCATTTGATCATCATTAGCTTAGACCTACTTAACTGCAGTTATACATCCGAATACACACGCAAAACCACCAGCTACCAGAGTTGTGTGTGTTGAAATACAAAAACAAATAAATAAATAAAAACAGAGGCAGAGGTCTAGAAAAAAATATTTAACAACCAAAACATCCTACCATTCTTTACAAAAACGAATTCCAACGAAACCAGGTCCTTCGTTGTGTGCCTCAAATATATCCATAGAAAAAAATCTTCGCTAAAATTACCAATTAGGATTTCAATTCAAGTCGATGAAATAAAAATATTTAAATTTATGCACTGCTCCTCTGATCGGAATAAATTGCAATAAAACATAGAGTAATTCCCCTTTTTGTTCTCAGTTCTTCAATACCAAAAGATTATTTTAATCAAGGCTAAGCAAAGACGGTGTATTACTAACTTGTTTCCATTTTAAATATTTTCTGTCTATCTTTAAGTTTTCCACCAGCAACTCCCATATCATAGGGCGGTATCAAAATAGACCAGATGAAAAATAATGATTTGAGTAACTCAGGTTGGGGTCCCTAGGTGAACGTTTGGGCCCCTACCCCTGGGGCCTGCGAGAAAATTTCGTCGGTGCCCTAAATAAAACTTGCATCAGAAATGATTCTGTAACAAGCAAAAGTAGATCGTTCCATTTGTCAAAACCTGTCTGATGAATACCAGTATGTAACTTAATTTTTACTGATTTTCAGCAGTTACCGAAGTTCCAATGCGAAAATATGTATCCTATATAGAGACCCTCGACAGAAAAAAATGTACATTTAAAATAGAAGGATGCATTTATTTTGGGGTATAGGTACCGTACCAATGTTCCCTTAAAGCTGCGCGGCCGCGCAGCACTCTCACAGACGCTGTTTTTTCACAGCAGTTTTGAGTACCGCGCAGCTAATTTCCACTAAAGTGTCTGTATGCTGAAAATTTTTCGCACAAAAAATTGATGCTGTAAAAATTTGCACACAACTTTATGATTTTGCACACGAACCAACAAACCTTAGAGGGAACATTGACCGGTACCTGAATTTAATTTTCCATACGATACTTTTTACAGTTAATTGGAGAACAACATAAGAAAGGCTATTGGAATTTTTGGTTTCCCTTAACCTAACTCAGACTAACTGTGTTTATACACACATCCAATATTTTTAGTAGTTACTGATTAGTCATATGTATATAATTTCAGAATTGAATTGAATTTTAAAATCAGTCCAAAAGAAGGGTCGATACGCCGTACTAGTGCATACCTCACATGAGTCATGGCTACACCAGTTTGCATAGTCAAGGATTGAAAGACTGACAATGTGATTAATTACAATGTCCATTAATTACGTCAACAATTTTTAAGCAATTTTTGCCCCCCTTCCCTCACTTTTCAACAATTGTCAAACTTGCAATGACCCCCCTATTTAATTATGTCAACATTTTCTACCCCCCTCCCTAAAAAAAGGAATTATATTATACATAAATTTATAAATACATTTTACTTTGTGCTTATCTATTTTAATTGGGCAAAATTGTAGGGAACAAATTTCATTACATCTTTAGCTTGTTAATCAACAATTAAATTTTATAATGCAGAATCAATTGAAAGGTTGTTAAAGACTAAATATCATTATTTGTGGTATAAATATGATTATTGTCAGTTAACCTGACAATTATAGTATAGTTTCTAGCTGCTATCATCTTCCCATGGAGCAGCCAGGTTTGCTATCGTAACAATGGGCATCAGGGACATCAATTAGGTAGAGCGGGGGGGGGGTGGTCATTCCCCCCCCCCCCAATTTCCGAGTTTTTTTTAAATAGTTTTTTACTGTGGCGCCTCCAGTAATAAACAACTTAACAAGCTGACCAAAGTTTGGCTTCTCCCCCCACCCCCCTGAAAAAAATGAAATGATGCCCCTGATGGGCATAGTCTATAGTAGCTGATTTATCATATTCATCTTGCGGCACTGATATACCAGACAAGTCAACATCATCCTCATCTAACCATTCAGCACTTAAAATAGAAGCATTGTCGGTGTGAGCAATAATTGCCATAAGCTCTCTCAGTCTCCTTGCAACTACTCGCATTGGTCGAATCCTTTTTTGTTGAGGAGCATGTGGTAATTTCTTCTGCTCAAGAGGGCCTTGTCGGTTCTGTTGTACATGCCTTTTCAACATGACTTGTGATGCAAAATAGATGTTACAGATTTTGCAAATCCGTTCAAGCAGCGATGTTATTATTGTTACTCACTTTACTTTCCCCTAATTCTCAAAAATCGTATTCCTATTCTATCAATAGCATTTATCTTGACTGCACATGAACTTGAACCTTGTCCTTATTTCATACCTGCAACAGAATCTACAGATGAAGAGAGGCCAACTTTTGACTGTAGATGAAGAGAGGCCAACTTTTGACTTCTCTTGCACTAACAAAGTGTGCTAACATTCTGACCAGCCATCTGCAGTGCACCGACACACAAATTAATTGACTATTTACACTCATTTACGCTTATAATTTCTTTTTAAAATTAAGTAACAACCAGTCAATTTTGAAGATTAACATTTTAATAGATAAAACATGATTGTTGACGTCAACTAATCTAAACCCCCCTCCTCCCCTCTTGTCAACAACTGTCAAACATTTCCACCCCCACCCCCCTTTCTATTTTGTTGACGTAATGGACGCCCCCATATCTTGTATCTCCGAATGTTGTGTTGACGGGAAATTACGAACTACTGCTATGAGTAGACATGCCCTGGTCATGTTAATAATGTTATAATAATATTATCATAGGGCCACCATAAGCGCGCAGCTTTGGTCGGTCGCCTCATTCGCCATCCCCTAGCGCCGACCTTGACTGCATGTTACATAATGTGCAACGTTGCAAGGCATGTTGCCCTACATAATGTGCAATGGTGCACTGCATGGCAATATTGCCAACATAGTGTGCAGCATCTAGCAAATTGGGTTTCTCCTCACAACATACAAATATTTGTTGTCATTTCATATTTAAGTTATGTAAATTAGAATATTTGAGCATCCAGCTGCAGACATATTGTTTCTCCCATCCCTTCTGTTTTTTTCTTCCCTCCGCAAAAATCCACATTTAATCTGCCACTGACACTGGTCACTGGTGAGTAAGTTTCAGTAAGCGCAAGCGGCGTAAGCCATTCAGTTCTCAGTGGAGTCATTAATAGTGTAAAAGTAAAAATAAATTTAATTAAAATTTTAAGCTAATAGTTATTTTATCAGTTTAAGTTTTAAAAAAATGATTGACAATGTTTTCAAAATGTTTTTAATTTTATTATAATTTATTATGGAACAATGTAACGAGCACTTGGCTAAAAATGTCAAAATAAATTTGTTTCGTTATTTTCCGTTGCAGCTATTTCCGGATGCGTATTTTTGCCTATTCACCAATGTTTACTGGGCTAAACCAGTCGAGTAGCCTGTGGTTGGCGTAAAGTAGTTATGTAGGTTCATTGATAGCGTACCCGAACTGTCTTATGGATACGGTGTAAGACAACGATATCAACATGCGTCGCGTAGGATATTGGATAAGCGAGAAAAAGAAGAAAAAATTAGATTTTGAAGAGCACTGTGATCGATTCAGGTGAGTAAATACGGAACACTACACACATTCTTAGGTCACATTGAATTATTGAATTGATTTGAGAGTTGATTCAACCAGAATATTTTTTTTTATTAAACACGAGACGTAGTTTTAGTTTTAGCCAATTTATAAGCCTAGTGAATTTATAATGATGTAGGCCTTATTACCCTGCTAAACGCAATCAGACTCATCCGTGAGCCTTGCTTTTTTGGAGCACCAGTGGCACCGAAGCCTCGGCCCTTGCCATGCCTAATAAATACTACTATTTTATCTATACTATTACTATCTATATATTTCATTGCCATCATTGATATTTAAGTATTATTAGTATTAGGCTATTCATTATCATTGTCTTTTATAAAAAAATGTAACGCCCCATAATCTCATAATGATAAATGCCATTTTCAATCACATAGACACATATAGGCTTAAGTCATATTATGATCAGTCATATGCCCAATACCAATATTATCTCACAATGAAATGTAAATGATAAACAAATGACCTAAGAAAAATAAAGTTTTTTTAAAAACTAAGCCTAATAATAGGTATTTTAAAAGACGCACGCGCATCCCTTCTGCCTTCTGCGCAGTCGAAAAATCACGGAAAAACTTAAGCTGCAATATAGCTATACGGCATAGCGAGGGTGTCGTTTTTTTGCGTTGTACGTCACTGTTTCCTAATAATAGTATTTAAATTATCGGTGACGTAGAGCACATATTTTTCCAAACATGTGAATACCATATTTGCAGCATTTAGAATCTTGTGACCGGTAACGCATTTAATTTTTCATCGGTATGCACGTTAATTGCTTATTACTTTTTAATGTAAAACTCAAACACATAGTGGTTTAGCTCAATACTGCTTCATTCATTCACACAGTTTAATAACTTTACTTCATTAAAATTAGCCCAAACGCACAAAAGTTATGCCAATCCAACTGGAAGGTGTAAGAAAATAAAATTGTTAGTAGTCATCCGAGTCATCCCCCCTCACAAAAAAAAGTGGATTGTCGGAAATGGTTGTTATTACCAATTTAACTTAAAGATATTTTCATTTATTCATTATAGTTCATCTTTGATAATCCGTGGTAGACTAATAAGTTAATAAAGGGAAAACTGTTTTACAATATTATTAGAAAGTAGTACAACTTAATAAATTAAATAATTTTAAATAATTGTAGTTCGTGTAGTCCGGTGAATTCGGACTTGTTTTGTCCCTTGATTTATATAATTATTATATGTAGTAGTAGTAATACTACTACTATAATATATAATGCTAGTTATTAGAGGTATTTATAAATTATAATTAATGATAATAACAAAATAAAGGCAGTTGCTACCACTATTAAAAATATACTATTATCAATTGTAATTCCAATAAAATATGGTAATGCATTATAAAATTATTTTTTTTTCGTACATATGATATATTTTTTGTGAAAATTGCGTCACTGTGACTTGTTTAAAATTAAAATTAGATAACCTATGAATTAGTCTATAACAAGTTTATTAAAATAAATAAATAAATAAGACTCTACATCATCATAGTAATTATATCAAACTAGGACAGAGGCATAAGAAAATGTTAACATTTATATCAACAATAATATATTTCTAATTAAATAAACAAAACAAAAAAAAGGAAATAAATTTAATAAAAACATCACTTGAATAATATTAAAAAGAAACTAAAAATTGTATAGATTCAGAATTATGATTAGTATTTAATGTTAGGCTTCTTT